ACAACCTCTGTCGACCACCCCTCTGGATATAAACAGGAATCTGTTGCTTGGAATCACTCCAAGTCAAACCGGGCCAAAAGGTAAGGGCTGGTTGACATCGAACCAGTATTCCTAAGGAAGTAGGACTTCAGGTTTTCTTCCCCACATGAGAGAAAAATTAGAAATGGCTATCACATTTCCTAAGAGATAATATATTTTATAACAGGGCATTATTATTATTATTATTATTGCTGCCGGGCTGAGGAGGGCGGCCCCTCTCGTTACCGCGACCTATAAGATCTATTGTAACTTTAGCCCTCCAAAGGTTTAGGGCAAATGTAGGTCCTTAATGAACCTTAGTATTGTCCTGAGGTCTTGAACCTTTATGTCGGTAGGTAACAGGGGAGTTTTACCGAAGACGTCCTCTGGCGACGCAATTGCACAGTATATGTTCAGCAGTTTCTGACTCGTCGTTGCATATGTGGAAGAGGTGGTATTTTAGGGGCACATGGCCGGTTAGGTAGCCTGAGAGCGTTCTTAGATCCCCTTTGCTGAGGCATAAAACCTTCGTATTTCTTAGCAAAGTTGTTTTACTTTTTTCCAACCCAAGTTTTATAATTTAATTTTATTTCTAATAAAATAAGGCTAGCTTTGTGAAATCTTCACTACATAAATTCCATATAATATACACTACAATAGTAATGTAAACCTTTGTAAACCTTATGTAAAATGAACCATTTTCGAGATAACCGCTTGTCTCACGTTAAATTGACCATTCTGTATATGTTGTTTTAATCCATGAACCGTTTGTTTCTTTGGTTCAAGACTATCAAATACCTAAGATTTATTGCAAACTTTACACATAGTTCTAGACTTTCATTCCTTCTAAAATAGTTCCATAATTTTTATATTCCACCAACGAATATATGTATATTGGTAAATATCAACCAATATAACATCTATGATAGCTTTATCAATCCTCTGGGCCATTTCGCTATCATCCTGAATTATTCCTTGTTAAAGACTCTTCACGTCGTTTTTAAGACTTGCTTGTACCCATCATTGTGGTATCTTAACATATATGTTGTTTTTATCCATGAATCGTTTGTTTCTTTGGTTCAAGACTACTAAATGACGAAGATTTATTGTAAACTTTACAAATAGTTCTAGAGAGATCACTTTTGTACTTTTTAAAATATATGATTAAACCTACAAGATAAAAATTGTTCAACTGCAACCGTTATTCTCTAATTGAAACACGGAGAACGCAATAATACGCAGCAATTAAATAATAAACGTACTTACCTGCTATTCTTTTCTGTTCTGCTCACGCTATAGTGTCAGAATATTCGGGGTGACTCGACACGTATTGTCACGAAAACGTAATTTCGGCTAAAATATAGCCGAAATCCCTATTTTAGGCCGAAACCGAAATTTCGGTCGGACATTATTTATAGGTTGTGTCGAAAAACCGATTGAGATTGAGACACAATAAACTGCGTAATTATGAAACGGCGTAAACCGAGGGGGGCTACCTGTATTAAACTTACTTTTGAGCTCCACACCATTTGCCAAAAATCTTCGCAAGTGTGCATCATGGGGCCTTGAGTCGCTATGTAACAATTTTCGGTGTAATCAGGGCCTTTTATGTAATTCGCGTGGATGTAGCTCTGTTGGGTTGTTAATATAACGCGGGAATGTTCGTTGGGGAGAACCCCGCGGTAACGATTTCTCGATTGGCTCCCCGAAACTAAGCATTTTTCTTGCAGATTTAAAGGAACCTCCCAAAATTCTTGATGAATCTTTGGGACGCGCAACATCTAAAATAAAAAAAAAAACATTATTTTAACCACTAAATAACCTCACTTAACTTTATCAACAACAAAAATTAATTTACTTCACACGACATTTTTAAATCCTCAATATTTAAAACATTCCCAGCTGTTTGTAAATATTGCACGTTTTGTAAATAAAACTTAAAATCGTCGCTGAGTAATTGCGAAGCATCCAAATCGGCTTGTCGGGGGTAACAAGCTCTCCTATGCCCCTTCGCCAACCCCGTACACTCCTTCTTCAAATCACCTTGACAAATATTACACGGCGGAACGTACAAATTCTCATTCGATAAAGATTTACGCCGCGATTTATGCGAACACAAACAACAACATTTTCTAGGACTCCCCATTTTAGTAACAACACAATTTTTACTCGGAACGGCTTCATAAATCGTGCAATTATCGCACTTTTCGATATGCGTTTGCGATTTTCTTCGATCGAATCCCACGAAAGGAGGTCGTTTTAAACAGTTACAAGTCTCGTTATGACCGAAACTGCTCAAATTTAAATTGTTTACGCTTCTAGCTGGGTTTAATCGAATTATGGGGGTTTTAATTTCGTTTATATTCAAAGTCGACCCCAAATCTATCGTTAAACTGGCGTTTGAACCTCTACGTTCTAACAAACCTTTCGTTTTGTTTAATCTAACTGGTTCCATCACTTTATTATTATCCGAAAAATCTTGTAGTGTCATCACTTCCGGGAGAGTTTTAAGCGTTTGTGAGCCGGAAATACTCGTATTCGATCCGAATCTGCTTAAATTCGAGCTAAAACTTGGAGTTAATGTAAATTTTTGAGCCCCATCGTCAAAATCGCACAATAATTTTTGTTTGACTTGTCGCTTTGGAGTATTTGGCATTGAAATAACATCACGGTTTACCTCCAAACTGTTCGATGGCTTTTGGGGATCTGAATCCAAGCTTACTGCTTTTAACTTCCTGCATAAAGTTGGTGTTTTTGGTGAATTTATCACGAGGAGTGGTTGTTGGGTGGCGTTTGCGTTAAGGTTTTGTTCGGTTAATTCCAACGTGGGGAAGTTTCGTTCTTTTCGGGGCACATCCGACAGTTTAAACTCTTTCTCCATCGTCGAGATTGTTACAAGTCGATTTTTACGTCTAATCGGGTTTAATTTAAACCCCCATTTTACGTCGGCTTAAATTTAACGTTTTCCTTTTGATTTCCTTTCAAAAACATCGAATTTTCGGATTAATATTAAAGCGATACTCGCAGGTGGCAAGAAAACGGCGGCCATGTTTGTTTTGGTCGCGAAATTTTTAGGTTATGTTTACTTTTTAGGTACCTGTATTATCAATTTTAATTATTTATTTGCAAATATTTCAATTAATCACTATTAAACAAATAAATTTAATTAATTTGATTTTGTAAATAATTTTAACAAATCAATTCAAAGAGAAATTGAAATTATTTAAGGAAAATTTTTTCGTCGCAAGATGGCGGTACAAGATAAACGCCAAAGTTTATTTTTACAAACTTTATTTTTTTGTGTATTTTGTATTATGTTTTATTGGTCGTTTTAGCTTCCAATTTAATCCTAAATACTGATAATTCGAGAAAAAATCGTCTCATTTACACCAAACGGAAAAAAAAAATGCAAAAGAAACAAACTCTAAAATTCTAACCTAACAAATCTCTTCATCACAAATCCATTTAATAGGGGACCCCACCAGGATAATTTTCAGTCAAGCACGATTTCCGTTCAAGAACATAGAATTTTCGGGTTAATATTAAAACGATGTTCGATGTTCCCAGGTGGGAAGAAAACAGCGGCCATGTTTGTTTTGGTCGCGAAATTTCTAGGTTATGTTTACTTTTTAGGTACCTGTATTATCAATTTTAATTATTTATTTGCAAATATTTCAATTTATCACCATTAAACAAATAAATTAAAAAAATAAATTTGATTTTGTTAATAATTTTAACAAATCAATTCAATAAATGATTAAAATTATTTAAGGAAAATTTTTTCGTCGCAAGATGGCGGCACAGGTACAAGATAAACGTCAAAGTTTATTTTTACAAACTTTATTTTGTGGGGAATTTTATTAATTATTATGTTTTATTGGTCGTTTTAGCTTCCAATTTAGTCCTAAATACTGATAATTCGAGAAAAAATCGTCTCATTTACACCAAACGGGAAAAAAATGCAAAAGAAACAAACTCTAAAATTCTAACCTAACAAATCTCTTCATCACCAATCGATTTCATCGGGGACCCCACCAGGATAATTTCCAGTCAAGCACGCCGTGCAGTGCCCAATATCCGGGGAGGAATCCTTTATGTCTTGCTGGACCGCCTTAACAAGCCCATCAACGCTTAAATAATGCAAACTATCCGCCCCTAAAACACCAGGTAAGATCTTTTTATTAATCATTCATTTCAACTCACCAACTTGTACTGATAAATCCTTAGACTCATGCGTATTCGCTATTAATTCTTGCCGAGTTGGAATATTAATCCCCATGTAACAAGGAAATCGTAAAGGAGGGCTTGCAACTCGAATATGAACCTCCTTAGCCCCCGCTTTTCGAAGCAACTTAATAATGGGGCCAATTGTGTTACCCCGAACGATTGAATCATCGATTAAAATGACCCTTTTATCCTTTACATTAGCACTAATAGGGCCTAAAATAACAAAAAATATGTAAAAAGTCGATTTTTTCTTTAAATTAACTCACAAAATTTTAAAGAAACGTTTAATTGCCTCAAACGGTTATTCGGCTGAATAAAAGTCCTCCCAACATAAGTATTTTTAGTTAATAATTCGCCAAAAGGAATTTTTGACTAAAAAGTAACCAAAAAATAATGAATTAAATAAGAAATAAATCCCTAACTTGTTTTGAATATCCATAAGCGGCCGCGTTTCCCGATTCGGGAACTGATCCAACTAAATCCGCCTCAACGGGGTGCTCCAAAGCTAATTGTTTCCCGCATTGCATCCGAACCTTATAAACCTCTTGCCCCTCAAAGACGCTGTTGGGGCGTGCGAAATAAACGTACTCAAAAATGCAAAAAGCTTGCTTATTCTTATTGGGACGTCCAACAATTTCGACCGTTCGAACGCCCGAAGATCTCATTTCGATGATTTCCCCAGGAAATACCTCACGTTCGTATTGAATGTACGATAAAAAAGCGCATGATTCGGACGCAACGGCCCAACCGGTTGCACCCCCTTCCGGCGAACACCCATTCAATACTAAAAATGTTAAAAATTAAAAAAAAATTTATTAATAAATTAAAATTTAGCACCTTCAGGTGCTGGGTATCTCCCCAAACACAGCGGTCTATTCCCATAGGGATCTCTTACGGCGTAAATTCGATCTTTCAACATAATCACCAAAGAGTAACTTAACGGGGCTAATTGCATTAAATGTTTTATCCTCGCCGGCCAATCGGGGCCGTTTACTTCACCTTCCGGAGGATTTAAACATAAAGCTTGCGTTATTAATTCGCTATCAGAACTCGTTGATAACCCAACACCTCTTTGAAGTACCTAAAATAAATAAAAATTATAATTATAACCTCAAAATGTAAAAAAAAAAAAATTATAACCTCAAAGTGTCAAAAAAAATTTTAACCTCAAAATGTCAAAAAAAAATTTTACCATTTTTCTTAAACTTGCTGCATTAACTAATTCCCCATTATGAGCGACCGCTAATAAACCATGCATTGAGTGTACCACGAAAGGTTGGCAATTAACTTGTTCTGATGCAGCGGCTGTTGAGTATCGGGTATGTCCAATCCCTAAATAACCCGTTAATTTCCTGACATTTTCCGCGTTATAAACGTTTCGAACCAACCCCATCCCTTTATGCGTATGAAACACTTTTCCATCGCTCGTAACGATTCCCGTTGATTCTTGGCCTCGGTGTTGGAGCGCTTCGAGGCCGAAAAGTAATAATTGCGAGACTTCGAGGGATTCTTCATCTCCCGTTGTTACTAATCCAAACACGCCGCATTCGTGGGTTAAACCCGACGATACTCGGCCCCTTCCCATTTTTCGGTCTTCGAATTTACTTATTGTGGACATTTTCTAACCTCTAAAAAAATGAGAATGAGAATTTGTAGCGGAAATGAGGTCAACTTACTTTCGTTTTTGTTAAGGTTATCAGTTTATTGTAATATAACACGTGTTTCTTCAATATAAACTACGTTATCATTTAAGGAAATATCATTACGCAAAAAAAACGAATTAGCATTTTTTATTTTGAGGTTATGTCATGTGGTTTCAAAAAAAAATTTTTAGTTATTTTTTTAAAATCTTTTTTATTATAATATTAATAACATTATAATTTATTAATAAGAACGTGTTTTTTATTAAATTTTATTTGATTTTAAACGAATTATTTATTATTTACCACCAAAGATAGTAATTTTTTTTTGTCACTAGATGGCGCCCAAATCAAAAATTATTTTTTTTATTTATTTAATTTAATTATATTACAAAAACTAAATTAAATCGTTACAAATAAATTAGATTTAACTAAATTAATTCTGCTTAATTTAAAAATGATTTGTAATGATAAAATTATTTTTTATTAAACGTCATTTTAATAAACGTCAAATTTTTAGGTTATGCGTCAAAATTGGGTTTAAATCGAAAAATGTCGCATTTAAAAGGTGGAAAAGTGGACGTTTCGTTAATACATTCCTTAGCGGGGGCTAATTTAATATCGTTAATTGAGAAACATTCCGGATCGAAAGCTTTGGTATGGGACACCCAACTTCAAGGTCCGGCGGGTTTGATTGCAAAATACACCGTTTTAAAAGAGTATGGGGTGGAAAAGATGTACCCCATTGAAAACCCGCCTCTACCAAATTGCGTGGCTAAACATATAATTTTTATTTGTCGCCCGAAATTGGAGTTAATGGAACATATCGCTTTGAGTATTAAAATTGATTTGCAAAATAACCGGGTTGGGATGGATCGAAATTACCATTTAATTTTTGCCCCAAGAAGGAGTTTATTGTGTCTTAATAAGCTTGAGCATTGTGGAATTAAAGGGAGTTTAAAAACGATTGAGGAATTTTGTTGTTATTTCTTTCCATTCGATTCTGATTTGTTATCAATGGAGATCCCCGACGCTTTTCGGTGAGTTTCTTTAATTAAAATAAATCAAATTAAAAATGTAATTAAGGTATAACTTAATTAAAGGGAATACAACCTAGAAAATGATCCAACAAGTCTTTACCACGTAGCGCGCTCGATAATTTTCCTCCAATCGAAATTTGGCCCAATTGGAAGAGTTTGGGGTAAAGGCCCGGCTTCAAAACAAGTCCATGATTTACTATTAAAGCTCCAAAAAGAAGATTTTCAATTCGAACGTGGTAGTTGCATCGACCAAATGATTCTAATCGATCGTTCGGTTGATTTGATATCAACATTGGCTACTCAATTAACTTACGAGGGGTTAATTGACGAAGTTTTTGGGTTAAACGGAAATGCGGTTACAATTCCGGCCGATAAATTAATGAGTAACGATGAGAGACACATGGAGTCTTTGCAAGAAGATAAAAAGACGTTAATTTTGGATTCCGGGGATCCCCTTTACGCCGATTTGAGGGATAAAAATTTTAACGGGGTCGGTCCGTATTTATCGAAACGCGCCAAATTAATTAGCGCGCAATTAGAGGATCGCCACGAGAAAAGCGTCCCGGAAATGAAGTTGTTCGTGCAACGATTACCCGCGATTTTAGCCAATAAAAAATCGTTATCGCAACACACCGCGATTGCGGAATGTATCAAAGAGGTTACCGATACTTACGAATTTTTAGATGGGTTACAAGTCGAGCAAGAATTTTTGAATTGCATGCAATCGGATAAGGCGCATCCTTTCATCGAGGATATGATCTCGCAGAAAAAGCCGTTAATAAAAGTGTTACGATTGATTTGTTTACAATGTTTAACAAGCTCTGGGCTAAAATCGAGACTTTTAGACTATTACAAACGCGAAATCGTGCAAGTTTATGGGTTAGAAGTGTTACCCGCGTTGATTAACCTCGAAAAAGTTGGGTTATTAAAAGTTCAATCCGGAACTAGGCAATATACGGTTCTTCGAAAAGGCTTACAATTAACAGTTGAGGATACATCAGAAGTTAATCCAACAGATATAAGCTACGTTCATTGTATTTATGCACCTTTAAGTGTGCGATTAGTGGAGCATTTAACGAAAAATGGGGGGTGGAAACAACTACAAGATTATTTGGGGCTCCTTCCCGGTGAGATTAATCAAAAATAACAAGAAATTATTGACTTTTTGAATGATTTTTAGGCCCCACCTTAGAGTATTTATCAGGAAACCCTTTAAACAACAACAACTCAACGAAAGTCGTTTTAATCTTCTTTATAGGCGGGTGCACCTTCGCCGAGGTAATTTTTTTTCGAGGTTATGTTTCAAAAATTCATATTTTTGTTGTAGATATCCGCTTTAAGGTTTATTTCGAAACAAGAAGACTCGAACGTTGAATTTGTAATCGCAACTACGAAATTAATTAATGGAAACACCTTTTTAAATTCTTTAATGTAAAAAAATTAAAAATTTTTTGAGGTTATGTTAATTAACATTAAGATTTAACCAATTTAACCTCGTCTAGTGGTATATATGATTTGTATCGACTTTTTTTGATGATTATTATTAATTATAATCTTAATCACGGTCATAAATGAGTCCTTTTTTGATGTGGTGGTGAAAAATGAGGTAAATTTATTTTTTGAGGTTATGTTTCGAAAATTACTTTTGTTGTAGATATCCGATTTAAGGTTTATTTCGAAATAAGAAGACTCGAACGTTGAATTTGTAATCGCAACTACGAAATTAATTAATGGAAACACCTTTTTAAATTCTTTGATGTAAGAAAATTAAAAAAAAAATGAGGTTATGTTAATTAATTTTAAGATTTAACCTTGTCTAGTCGTATATATGATTTGTATCTACTTTTTTTTGGAGAATATTATTAATTATAATCTTAATTACGCTCATAAATAAGTCCTTTTTAATGTGGTGAAAAATAAGGTAAATTTATTCTTTAAAGTTATGTTTTGAAAATTATTTTTGTTGTAGATATCGGATTTAAGGTTTATTTCAAAACGAGAAGATTCGAACGTTGAATTTGTAATCGCAACTACTAAATTAATTAATGGAAACACCTTTTAAATTCTTTAATGTAAGAAAATTAAAAAAAAATTGAGGTTATGTTAATTAATTTTAAGATTTAACCAATTTAACCTCGTCTAGTGGTATATATGATTTGTATCGACTTTTTTTGATGATTATTATTAATTATAATCTTAATTACGATCATAAATGAGTCCTTTTTTGATGTGGTGATGAAAAAATGAGGTAAATTTATATTTCGAAAATTATTTTTGTTGTAGATATCCAATTTAAGGTTTATTTCGTAACAAGAAGATACGAACGTTGAATTTGTAATCGCAACTACTAAATTAATTAATGGAAACACCTTTTTAAATTCTTTAATGAAAGAAAATTTTAAAAAAATTGAGGTTATGTTAATTAATTTTAAGATTTAACCTCGTCTAGTGGTATATATGATTTGTATCAACTTTTTTGATGATTATTATTAATTATAATCTTAATCACGATCATAAATGAGTCCTTTTTTGATGTGGTGATGAAAAATAAGGTAAATTTATTTTTTTAGGTTATGTTATTTGACGTTTGTTAAATGTGAGGTTAAATCGTTAAAAATAGAAGATTAAGCTATAAAAGAATAAGCTGAGTTGAAAAAGAAGTTTATTGCAGACAAAAATCTCTTTCTTGTTACTTAAAAATAGGAAAAAATCTATCGACACAATAAAACGTTTCGAAACATAATTCGATGAGAATCAATCCGATAACCAGCCATTCTAGTCTCAATCGGTGTTTGTCTTTTAAATAAGCGCTTAATAACAATATTAATTCGAGACAATGGTTCATTTTTTCTTTAATAAATCGTAACCGTTTTTGCATTGCATAGAAAGTGTTTAAATCCTTGTACATGGTGTCTAATCGGATCGTATAATTCATCATTTGAGGGGGTTCTAAAAGCGCTGAACTTAAATTGATTACGTGTCGTAACGCAAAGATTGCGCCGTGTTTCCTTAAAACGCGATGTTCTGACATGCGAATTTGCCTCCCATACTTTAAATCTTCCGTAATAAATTCTACGTCTCTTATATATTTTTCTAATTGTCGCTCCCAAACTGTTAATTTAACGTTGGCTGCTAATACGTGGGATGTTACGTATTTTTCCCACTGAGTGTTTGTGGGTGATAACATGACTTCTTGTTTTTCGGTCATTCCAACGTAATCTTCTTGATTGTAATTGTAAACGTATCCGATTGTTTCAGAGTCCTGCTCAACCACGTGATTAGCGTAACGATGATGTTCAAATTTGTGTACTTCTGCCAAAATATTGTTAATTGCTATCGAAGGGACGTTCCAAAGCACAACAACTCCTTCCCGAAAAACATAAATCTCTTGAGACTCACACCCAAGAGTCGACTCATTCACTGCTCTCAAAACATCCAAACTTTGTTGAATATGTTCGGCTTTCAACGACAACGCGTCCTCAAGAACTGGTAAAAGAGCTTCCAGGTTGATTTCTTCGGCTGTGGGGAATGCACGAACGGTGAAAACTCCGGGGGTTTTGTACTTAGTTTCGGGGGGTTTTATTCGTATCGGTTTACGTTTTAATTGCAACGCGAACAATTCTTGCGGGTGGTAAAACGTCGATTTATCTGCAGTTAAACGGAACGGATTCGCAAAAAGAAATTTAACACCCGGCAATGCATTCAGTATTCGTAAACCATTCACGAATCTTGTGCGAACCATTAGGAGCGATCATACTCGAATTAAACCAATTTTTCCAACGCGCGCAATGTTTTGAAAACCTAAAACGTCATTAACTTGAATTTTAATTTATTTTTTTTTAACCAAAAATAATTTTTTAAAAAAATTAAACAACCGAAACGTCACTGATGTTATTTGGGTTGCATACACCGAATAGTTTAGCTTTACAATCGAGTCTGAAGTTAGCTCATCACCAATCACTTCTGCAAAAAGATGTTTATGTTTCGCGATTAAAACGGTTCGTATTAATCTTAAATTAAAATGAAACGTAATCGTACGTGTTGATTTAAACTAAACGTGATCGTTTCGCGCACCGACACCGCCCCCGGGTGTAATTAAACGTGAATTTTTGTCTACGTGAATTTTATGAAAACAAAAATGGCCTCCGCTATTATTCGATAGTGTCTCGTGTAAATAAATCCTGTTTTTTATAGAATTTTCTTTAAAATCGCGGTGATAACGTGATGTAAATGGTGTATTTCCGTTAAGAACGACTTGAAAAATATAATTTTCACCATGTCGGACTCCGGCAGTCAACGTTTTCCGAAGTGAGTCAAAACATAACCTAACTTTTTGATGTAAATAATCGATATTTTCGTTTAGAATTATGGTTTTTCGCCCTACTTGGGACGAGTTTAAGGATTTCTCGAAGTATGTCGAGCACATGGAGTCGAAGGGGGCCCATAAAGCCGGTTTGGCTAAGGTAAAAGTGTTTTTTTTGTTATAGTTGGTATTGAAACAAAAAATTTTTAGGTTATACCACCACCGGAATGGGTCCCTCGAAAATCCGGTTATGATTTAGAAAAATTAAACATCTCGATCCCGGCTCCGATTTGTCAGGTGGTTACAGGAAAACAAGGACTTTATCAACAAATTAATATCCAAAAAAAACCCATGACGGTGAAACAATACTCCGAGTTGGCTAATTCTGAGAGATATTGCACCCCGCGACATTTCGATTATGAGGATTTAGAGCGAAAATATTGGAAGAATATTACTTATATAGCCCCGATTTATGGGGCAGATGTTTCTGGGAGTTTAACCGACCCGGAAGTTAATGTAAAAATTTTTTTTTTTAATTTGAGGTTATGTTTAAATTTTTTTTTTTAATTTTAGGAGTGGAATATAAATCGATTAGGAACCATCCTCGATTATGTCAATGAGGATTATGGCATCTCAATTGAAGGGGTTAACACGGCTTATTTATATTTTGGAATGTGGAAAACTACTTTTGCTTGGCACACGGAAGATATGGATTTATACTCGATTAATTATTTACATTTTGGGGCTCCAAAAACATGGTTATTTCATTTTTATTCCTTTTAATTGAATTAAAATTTATAATATTTATTTTTTAGGTATTCGATTCCCCCAGAACATGGCCGACGACTCGAAAGACTCGCAAATGGTTTTTTTCCAAGCAGTTATAAAACTTGCCAAGCATTTCTTCGCCACAAAATGACGCTAATTTCTCCACAAATTCTTAGACAGTATTCAATTCCTTATAATAAGGTGGGTAAAATTATTATTTAAAATTTATAACCTAAAAAATTTTTTTGACATAAAAATTTATAACCTAAAATTTTTTTTGATCAATTTATTTTATTTTAAATCAATTAATTTTACTTGTTTTTATTAGATCACACAAGAAGAAGGTGAAATAATGATTACTTTTCCATATGGTTATCATGCTGGGTTTAATCATGGTTTTAATTGCGCCGAGTCAACTAATTTTGCAACGCCCCGTTGGATTGAGTATGGAAAACGTGCAATGCAATGTACTTGTAGTAAGGATATGGTTAAAATATCCATGGATACTTTTGTGAAGCGATTTCAACCTGATCGGTAATACAACTTAACCTCAATTTACTCAGTTTAGGAAGTTTTCTAAGAAACCTTATTATATAAATAAATTTGCTCATATCGAACCATTTTTACCATCAACCTAGTAATCTATATAGTTGATTGTTGCTATTGTTTCTAATTTCTTCCCCCAAATCTTAATGTCATCCAGCTATCTCTGTTATTGTCTTCCCACACTGCTATTTGTTGCCCAAGCCCTCCATTTGGATGATCTTTTGGCTCTTTTGTCTTACTACTGCGATTTTAGAAGATCTCCTCATTGTCCATTCTGTCTCTAAAATTGATCCCCAACATTGCCCTCTCAATAGCTCGTTTTATTGTTTCTATTTTTCAATTCTTTATTAATTTTTTTAACTTCTTTCTTCTTAATTTAATAATTAAAAAATGACTGTTTTTGATTCTTTGTATATTTGGGACACTTTCAAAAAACGTCAAAATCACTTTTTTGAATTTTATCATCCTAATTAGGTATTCTAGAGATATATTTGTTAGGTTAGAATTATTTTGATTCAAACCAACCATCTTTTTCTCATATTCTAAAATCTTTGGAGCTTTTGGCAAACATCCTAATTAATTAATTTAACTTCTGTTGACTTTATTTATTAATTTAGAAACGTTTTTAATCAATTTGAGTCATTTTGACAAACACCAATTAACGTTTTTTGATTCTTTGTATCTTTGGGACACTTTAAAAATACGTCAATTTAATTTTTTTGGAATTTTTTATCATAATTAATTATCTTAGAGATGTTTTTGGTACGTTAGAATGATTTTGATTCAAATCAACTATCTTTTTCTCATATTCTAAAATCCTTGGAGCTTTTAGAAAACATTCTTATTAATTATTTTAACTTCTTTTGAATTTATTTATTAATTTAAAAACGTTTTTAATCTAATTGAGTGTTTTTGGCAAACACCAATTAACGTTTTTTGATTCTTTGTATCTTTGGGACACTTTCAAAAAACATCAAAATCATTTTTTTGAACTTTATCATCCTAATTAAGTATCCTAGAGTTGTTTTTGGTAGCTTAGAATTATTTTGATTCAAACCAACCATCTTTTTCTCATATTCTAAAATCTTTGGAGCTTTTGGAAAACATCCTTATTAATTATTTTAACTTCTTTTATCTTTATTTATTAATTTAAAAACGTTTTTAATCAATTTGAGTCATTTTGACAAGCACCAATGAAGTTTTTTTGATTTCTTGTACCTTTGGGACACTCAAAGAACGTCAAAATCATCATTTTGATTTTTTTCATCCTAATTAAGGATCCTAGAGATGTTTTTGGTAGCTTTTTCCGTATTCTAAAATCTTTGAAGTTTGTGGAAATCATCCTTATTAATTTTTTTGTCTTATTTCTTCTCTACCAAGTAATTAAAAGTCGTTTTGAATCAATTTGAACCATTTTGATAAACACCAATGAAGTTATTTTAATGCATTCTATCTTTAGGGCACTTTTAGACAGCCTCAAATTCAATTTTTTTAATTTTTCTCCTTGTATACTAAACTATTTTAATATCCAATTCATTTTTATTAAATATTTTTTTAGATATGATAAATGGTTACAAGGATTAGACATTGGTCCTCATCCAGAAGAACCAAATAAGCAATCAGCAGCCCCGTTACCTTTACCCCAAGACATCCTTTGCAACAAAAATAACCAAGAATTACCACAAAGCTTTTTAGAAGCCCCATTAAAGCGTCGCCCCCCAAAAGCGTCTCGATCGATGGCCTCTGGAGGTTTCTCCCATGGCTTTAGTTTATCAGAATTCCCCACTGAGCTTCAACTTGAATTAATTCAAGAAGATATGGATGCCGAACAAGGAGATGAAGTGAGCCCCGATGAACAACAATTAGAAGTTTTAGAAGATATTTGGTTGAAAGCTGGGGAAATCGATGTTGGGGAAGCGTCGATTTACGACGAGGGTTATGAGGTGGTTGCAAAAAAGAGGAAAGTGAAGCGAAAGAAGAACGCTGATGAAGATTTTAAACCGCCATCATCTTGTGGCCCATTTCTACCAAAAACGGCAAAAGCAAAAACGAAAAAACCCGAAAATAAACCTCAACGAAGAGAAATTAACCCGATCGATGAAATTGAACGAAGTGGGTTGTTCACGCCATTGGATACTAAGTCGAAGAAGGTTTGTGGCCCCGTTGTGGCTCCAATTGGATTCGTTAAAGAGGAGGAGAAGAAGAAACATAAGAAGCACAAAAAAGAGCATAAAGAGAAGTGTAAGAAGCATAAAAAAGTGACTGATATGGCAGCTTTAGATGAGGAGTTGGATAAAACTTGTTTAGCCATTAACAATATTATTAAGGAGGCGGAGCAAGAACATGAGGAGTTGATGAGGAGTCGATATCAGATTCAACCAGAACATTCTGGGTTGATTGTACCAAAAACAGAGATATTTGAGGATGAGGATTTAAAGAATTACGAAGTTTCTGTTAAGAAAACTTTAAATATAACCTCACCAAAAGATGATGTTAATGCATTACACGAAAAGCAATTTTTTAATTTTGTGGGGGAAGTCCCTAAAACAGAATTAATGAAAAGGCAGTCTTTAACGTCGGAATTAAAGAAAATTCGCAAACCAAAGAAAATGCCAACCTTAATAAAACAAAACGTTGAAGCTAAACCCATAAAATTAGAAGAAAGTATTAAAAGCGAAGAAGGAAATATGCCGAAATTAATAGCTGAGACTCAAACATCACCAAATAAAATAGATTCTGATTATGTTTATCTTCCGAAAGATGTTGTGTTAAAGAAAGTGACGAAAAATACGATTCCCAAAGAAATAAAAGCGGTGGTTTCGAAGAATATCGTCCGAAAAGAAATATTAGACAAATTAAACCGGAATCAAAAAGGCGTGTATCAAGAAGAATCAAAGAAAAAAGTTCCAATTTATAAAAGTAAGGTTATGAAGAGTATTCAAAAGTCTTTGCAAAGTATGGGAAGTTTAAACCCAAATCATTCGAAATTCAAAAACATGTACATATTGCATAAAACTTCAACAACCACCAACAACAAAATAAAACCTTTAATTCCAGGGACCATGCAAAAAGCGGTCCCTACTTTACACAAATTACTCCAAGCGCCATCTATCAACATAAACAAAGAAATAAATAAGTCAATATCGGATGAGGTTATATTTTTGGGGAAAACCAACGGAAACGGCGACCAAAAAACGTTTCAAAACATCGTTCATATGCTTAACTCAGAAACGAATGATCCTAATTATCAAAGGTTAGATAAGATTTTGGAGGAGAATCCAGAAAAGGATTTAATTTTAAAGGAGGAAGATTACGACCGATTAGATAAGATATTAATGACGAAAGAAGAAAAGGAAATAAAGTACGATAACGAATTAAACGATAAAATGAAGGTTATGAAAAAACCTAACCTCAAAACGTCAAACGTCAAAACGATTCAAATTCCTTCGAATTTTCAAAAATCGGGTGCTAATATCAGTATTAATTTACCGTTTAGTAATAATTTAACGATTCCGAATACGCAAAATTTGAATTCGCAAGGTTTGAGTTCACCAAATTTGAATTTGCAAAATTTTAGCACGCAAAATTTGAATTCGCAAAATTTGAATTTACAAAATATGAATTTGAACGCGCAAAGTTTGAATTTAAATACACAAAGTTCAAATTTAAATATGCAAAGTTTAAATTTGAATTTACAAAATAAAAATTTGAATTTGCAAAATAAAAATTTAAAAATCCCGCCAAAGCCGCGCAAAATGGCGGCGATAAACGTCACTTCAAATGCGATAAATAATCCGAACGTTAAAATAATCAATTCTAACGATTCAAATGTAACGAAATCTCATCAAATGTGCGAAAACTTGAAAATGAAAAGTTTAAAAGTGAATTCGCCGCAATCCGCGGTTAAAGTTGAGGTTAAGGTTGAAGATTTCGCGCACGGTGACATAAAGTTGATTAAATCGCCTATTTACACGTTTAAAGATGATAAAAAAGGGCTTAAATCGATGAAATCGAGGAGTGTTTTAGTTAATTCAAGTCAAAAACAGGAAATTATTAAACCAGGCCAAAAAGATGCGGTAAAAGTCGAAATGTCATCGCAGAAAGTTAACGAAGCTGTCCCAAATCGTAGTAATTTACAAAATTCTAGTCCAACTGTGATTAATTACTCCGAAAATGTGACGTTAGTACAAAATTTACCTAATTTGGGTCAAAATCAAATTAATATGATGCAGAATCAAACGAATTTGGGTCAAAATCTACCTAATTTGGGACAAAAAAGTAATTTGGGTCAAAATCAAGCCAATATGATGCAGAATCAAACGAATTTGGGTCAAAATGAAACTAATTTGGTTCAAAATCTACCTAATGTGGGACAAAAAAGTAATTTGGTTCAAAATATACCTAATTTGAATCAAAATCAAGCTAATTTGATGCAAAATCAAACGAATTTGGTACAAAGTGTACATAATTTGGTTCAAAATCAAAGTAATTTGGTTCAAAGTGTACCTAATTTGGTTCAAAAAAGTAATTTGGTTCAAAATCAAGCAAATTTGGTTCAAAATCAACCTAATTTGATACAAAATCAACCTAATTTGATACAAAATCAAGGAAATTTGATGATAAATCAAGCAAATTTGATACGAAATCAAGGAAATTTGTTACAAAATCAAACAAATTTGGTTCAGAATCAAAATTTGATAGTAACGAGTCAAAATTTGAATCAAATGAATCAAAATTTAAATTTTTGTGCGATACAAAATTACTTATCGGGTCCAACTCCGCCCGGTTACAACGTTCAGAATCTCATTGGAATGCAACAATCGATTGTAATGCCATCGGAATACTCGATAGTAGCGATTCCGACTCAATTTGCGCCTCAAAATCAATTCCCCGAAACTAATCAGTATCAAAATCAAAGCCAGTTCACAAATTTAACGCCATTTCAAAACCAAATTTCGGAGCCAACCTTAAACGATTTCATTGCTGATGATGATCAGGCGTTTTTGAATAACCAGCAACAACAGCAAGAAGCGGAGCAAGTTTTCGAGGAGGAAATGGTGGCTATTAAGGAGGAGATTAATAAGCAAGTTGAGAAAATGGAGGAAAATGAAATAGTAAAGCCGAAAGAAAATAAGCCGCCGAAAAATCGGCCCAATTTGATTTGGACAAACCAAAAATTTTATTCGTATTCGTGTAACGTCGAATTTAACAATTCGGAACGGTTTTATCCGATGTCGTTGGAACCCATAACAACATCCGAGGATGTTAAGAAAATCGACCAAGAAAATTTAGACCAAAAGATTCAAAAAGATTCCAAAGTTACCAATAAAGTCTTAGAAGAAATTGAGTTAAAATCGGAAAATTTTAATGAAGATGATGATTTAAAAGAAAAAGATGATACAACATCAACTAATAAATTTTCATTAAAAGACATCGAAAGTGAATTAATCGCGGTTGATGAAAAACAACGCGAAAATCAACAAAAGAAAAAGATTCGAAAAAACCGAAAAGAACCGTGGTATTGTAAATATCAACGTCAGATGGCGTTAAAAAAGAAATTGAATAACCCAAAACGCCTCCTGATGTCTCAAGAACGCGCCAAGACTTTGGACGAAAAAATTTCGGCTTTAACCCCGAAAAAATTAGGGGTTCGCGTAGAAAATATTTTAAAGATATTGGCCCCATCTATTAGTAAGCGATTAGAACGCAACGAAACGTTGAGGACTTACCCGAAATTAAAAGATGGGCGGTGGAAACGAGAACCGGAACAAGAAAAAGTAAAATTAAAATTAAAAAAAAAATGTTTTAATTAAATTAATTTTTTTTTTAAGGAAATTTTTAAACCAGCAACGAAAGTTTGGGCCAAAAAACACGGGAATGGTCGTTTTTATAAAGCGGAAGTTTTGAATCACCGCTTAACGAAAACGTTTGGATTTTACGTGGTGAAAGATGGAAGCTTTGTGAGTGATGTTCTCGCGGAAAATGTTGTTTCAAAACCGTTATCGCCTATAACTACAGAGGGAATTTCGTCCTATTCCGTCGGAGATCCCGTTGAGGTTAGCTTAAAGGATGGAAATGTGTACGCTTGTGAATATGTTGGCGAAAACGTTCAAACGTTGTACAAAGTAAGTAAAAAAATTTAAAAATTCACAACATTTTCACAATAAAAGTTATCGTTGAGATGATTATCTTAATATTAAATTTAAAATCGCATTTTTTGTGTTAAAATGTTCGATTTTGATACCAAAAATGTTAAAAAATGAAAATTAATAAAATTTTCACAATGTTGTGAATGACTAACGTCGATATAAATTAAATAATTCAATTCTTTTGGTTAAAAATGTTCTATTTTAATACCAAACGCGATTGTGATGATGATATATTTGATAAAAAATTAATATTCACAAAATTTTCACAATAAAAGATATCTTTGCGAGTGATTATCTTAATAATGATTTTAAAATCGCATTTTTTCTATTAAAATGTTCGAATTTGATATCAAAAATGATGTAAGAACGTTAAAAATGAAAATTCACTAAATATTCACAAAGTTGTGATTGTTGTGAATGCCTAATATTGATATAAATGAAATAATACATTTTTTTAGTTAAGAATGTCCTATTTTAATCCAAAATACGGTGATAATGATGATATATTCAATAAACAAGTTAATATTCACAAAATTTTCACAATAAAAGTTTTCGTTTTCTTAATAATGAATTGAAAATCGCATTTTTTGTGTTATAATGTTCGAATTTTATATCAAAAATGATATAAAAACGTTAAAAAATGTAAGTTCACAAAATTTTCACAAAGTTGTGATTGTTGTGAATGACTAATATCGGTATAAATGAAATAATGCATTTTTTGTTGGTTAAAAATGTTCTATTTTAACCCCAAATACAGTTATAATGATGATATATTTGATAAAAAAAGTCATATTCACAAAATTTTCACAATAAAAGATATCGTTGCGATTGATTATTTTAATAATGAATTTAAAATCGCATTTTTTGTATTAAAATGTTCGATTTTGATATTAAAAATGATATAAAATCGTTAAAAAATGAAAATTCTCAAAATTTTCACAAAATTGTGATTGTTGTGAATGCCTAATATTGACATAAATGAAATAATACATTTTTTTGGTTAAGAATGTCCTATTTTAATCCAAAATACGGTGATAATGATAATATATTTAATAAAGAAATTAATATTCACAAAATTTTCACAATAAAAGATATCTTTGCGATTGATTATTTTAATAATGAACTTAAAATGGCATTTTTTGTGTTAAAATGTTTGAATTTTATATCAAAAATGATATAAAAACGTAAGTTCACAAAATTTTCACAAAGTTGTGATTGTTGTGAATGACTAGTATCGGTATAAATGAAATATTGCATTTTTTGTTGGTTAAAAATGTTCTATTTTAACCCCAAATACAGTTATAATGATGATTTATTTGATAAAAAATTAATATTCACAAAAATTTTCACAATAAAACGCATCGTTGCGGCTGATTATCTTAATAATAAGTTTTAAATCGCATTTTTTGTGTCAAAATGTTCGATTTTGATATTAAAAATCATATAAAAACGTAAAGAAATGAAAATTCACAAAATTTTCACAAAGGTGTGGTTGTTGTGAATGACTAATATCGATATAAATGAAACAATGCATTTTTTTTTTGTTAAAAATGTTCAATTTTAACCCTAAATACTGTAATGATGATGATATATTTAATAAACAAATTAATATTCACAAAATTTTCACAATAAAAGTTATCGTTGTGAATGATTATCCTAATAATAAATTTAAAATCGCATTTTTTGTGTTAAAATGTTCGATTTTGGTATCAAAAATGATATAAAACTGTTAAAAAATGAAAATTCACAAAATTTGCACAAAATTGTGATTGTTGTGAATGATTAATATCGATATAAATGAAATAATGTATTTTTTGTTAGTTAGAAATGTTCTATTTTAACCATAAATACGGTTATAATGATGATATATTTGATAAAAATTAATATTCACAAAATTTTTACAATGAAAGGCATCATTGCGATTGATTATCTCAATAATAAGTTTTAAATCGCATTTTTTGTATTAAAATGATCAATTTTGATATCAAAAATGATATAAGAACGTTAAAAAAATGAAAATTCACAAAATTTTCACAAAGTTGTGATTGTTGTGAATGACTAATATCGATATAAATGAAACAATGCATTTTTTTTTGTTGAAAATGTTCAATTTTAATCCCAAATACTGTAATGATGATGATATATGTAATAAACAAATTAATATTCACAAAATTTTCACAATAAAAGTTATCGTTGTGAATAATTATCTTAACAATGAATTTAAAATCGCATTTTTTGTGTTAAAATGTTTGAATTTTATATCAAAAATGATATAAAAATGTTAAAAAATGTAAGTTCACAAAATTTTCACAAAGATGTGATTGTTGTGAATGACTAATATCGGTATAAATGAAATATTGCATTTTTTGTTGGTTAAAAATGTTCTATTTTAACCCCAAATACAGTTATAATGATGATATATTTGATAAAAAATAAATATTCACAAAATTTTCACAATAAAAGATATCGTTGCGATTGATTATCTTAATAATGAATTCAAAATCGCATTTTTGTATTAAAATCTTTGATTTTTGTATAAAAAATGATATAAGAACGTTAAAAAATGAAAATTCTCAAAATTTTCACAAAGTTGTGAATGACTTATATCGGTATAAATGAAATATTGCATTTTTTGTTGGTTAAAAATGTTCTATTTTAATCCAAAATACTGTGATAATGATATATTTAATAAAGAAATTAATATCCATAAAATTTTCACAATAAAAGTTATCGTTGTGAATAATTATCTTAATAATGAATTTAAAATCGCATTTTTTGTATTAAAATGTTTGAATTTTATATCAAAAATGATATAAAAACGTAAGTTCACAAAATTTAACCCGAAATACGGTTATAATGATGATATATTTGATAAAAATTAATATTCACAAAAATTTTCACAATAAAAGGCATCGTTGCGATTGATTATCTTAATAATAAGTTCTAAATCGCATTTTTTGTGTTCGATTTTGTTATCAAAAATGATATAAGAACGTTAAAAAATGAAAATTCACAAAATTTTCACAGTATTGTGATTGTTGTGAATGACTAATATCGATATAAATGAAATAATGCTTTTTTTATGGTTGAAAGTGTTCTATTTTAACCTCAAATACGGTTATAATGATGATATAGCTGCCTCGGCTTCCATATAGTACATAAATACTTAAAACCTTGACTTATTGCTTTATAATGCTTAAGCCACTGCCTCGGCAGCTCTGCTGCCTCGGTTACTGGTAATACATTACTACTAAAGAGGAACATTTTCTTATTGCTTTGTGATGTAATACCTAAGCTACTGCCTCGGTTACTGATAATACATTACTACTAAAGAGGAACATTTTCTGATTGCTTTGTAATGTAATACCTAAGCTACTGCCTCGGCAGCTTTGCTGCCTCGGTTGCTGGTAATACATTACTACTAAAGAGGAACATTTTCTGATTGCTTTGTAATGTAATACCTAAGCTACTGCCTCGGCAGCTCTGCTGCCTCGGTTGCTGGTAATACATTACTATTAAAGAGGAACAATTTTACATTATTTTGTACTACTTGAGCCACTACCTCGGCAGCACAGCTGCCTCGGCTTCCATATAGTACATAAATACCTAAAAGAAGGACACTTTACTTATTTTTTTATAATACTTGAAGTACTGCCTCGGTTGCTGGTAATACATTACTACTAAAGAGGAACATTTTCTGATTGCTTTGTAATGTAATACCTAAGCTACTGCCTCGGCAGCTCTGCTGCCTCGGTTGCTGGTAATACATTACTACTAAAGATGAACTATTTCTCATTATTATGTACTACTTGAGCCACTACCTCGGCAGCACAGCTGCCTCGGCTTCCCTATAGTACATAAATACCTAAAAGAAGGACACTTTACTTATTTTTTTATAATACTTGAACTACTGCCTCGGCAGCTTTGCCGCCTCGGTTCCTGGTAATGCATTACTACTAAAGAGGAACATTTTCTGATTGCTTTGACAAGTAATACCTAAGCTACTGCCTCGGCAGCTCTGCTGCCTCGGTTGCTGGTAATACATTACTACTAAAGATGAACAATTTCTCATTATTTTGTACTACTTGAGCCACTACCTCGGCAGCACAGCTGCCTCGGCTTCCCTATAGTACATAAATACCTAAAAGAAGGACACTTTACTTATTTTTTTATAATACTTGAACTACTGCCTCGGCAGCTTTGCCGCCTCGGTTCCTGGTAATGCATTACTACTAAAGAGGAACAGTTTCTGATTGCTTTGACAAGTAATACCTAAGCTACTGCCTCGGCAGCTCTGCTGCCTCGGTTGCTGGTAATACATTACTACTAAAGACGAATAATTTCTCATTATTTTGTAATACATGAGCCACTACCTCGGCAGCACAGCTGCCTCGGCTTTCCTATAGTACATAAATACCTAAAAGAAGGACACTTTACTTACTTTTTTATAATACTTGAACTACTGCCTCGGCAGCTCTGCTGCCTCGGTTGCTGGTAATACATTACTACTAAAGAGGGACATTTTCTGATTGTTTTGAGATGTAATACCTAAGCTACTGCCTCGGCAGTTGTGCTGCCTCGGTTGCTGGTAATACATTACTACTAAAGAGGAACATTTTCTGATTGCTTTGTAATGTAATACCTAAGCTACTGCCTCGGCAGCTGTGCTGCCTCGGTTGCTGGTAATACATTACTACTAAAGAGGAACATTTTCTGATTGCTTTGTAATGTAATACCTAAGCTACTGCCTCGGCAGCTGTGCTGCCTCGGTTGCTGGTAATACATTACTACTAAAGAGGAACATTTTCTGATAACTTTGTAATGTAATACCTAAGCTACTGCCTCGGCAGCTTTGCTGCCTCGGTTGCTGGTAATACATTACTACTAAAGAGGGACATTTTCTGATTGCTTTGAGATGTAATACCTAAGCTACTGCCTCGGCAGCTCTGCTGCCTTGGTTTCTCTAATAACATATTAATACTAAAAAGAAACGTTTCGTAATTGACTGGATTTTATCATCGAAAAGCGAATAAATTTGTTATATCTGATTTAAATAAAAATAATTGTTTGTTGCAGGTAATTTTCGACGACAATTCATTAAGCGAAGTGTTATCCGACGACGTGCTTTTGGACACCGAGTTTGCGTCGCTGTTTAAGTGAAAAAAAAAGTGCGTCCGGGTTCGAAAAAAAAGTTAAAGAACAGTAAAGGTAGGATTTTTTAATATACATTTTAAGTTCTCATTTTTTAACCTTCGTTAAAAAGAGTTATTCGAAAACACGTCGATTTCGTTCTAGAGATTTCCAGTTACTTCATTTTACTTTAGCATTATAAAATTTATTTTATATCTTCGTTTAATAACGCCGTTTGTGATTTATTTAGTGGAAAACAATGTAAATTAATTATTATTAATTTAATTAAAGATAGTAATAATTATAATAATAATAATAAAAATAAAGAGAATCACCCCGAGATCCGATATGATGGTATATATAAATTTTTGTACATACTAAGAAAGTTGATTAGGTTAAATCACGAATTAGTGTGATGTGTGTATTAATTTAATTATTTTCCGCTTAGACTTAAAAAATATTAAACAAAAATAAAAACAGGAAGTAGGAACACAAAAGGATTAAATATTTCAAGATGTTTAAAAAATAATATACATTTCTTTATTGTAAGCTTAGGTTGTTTTAATTAATTCATTTATTAATAATCCTTTTAACCACAAACTTGTTTTAATAGAACGAAGCGGTCCAAGCTTTAGCATTTCTTCTTAATCAACTTTTTTGTGCAACTTGAATTGGCAAAAGAAGAAATATTTATTCCCTAATAATTATAATTAGTGCTTTAATTCCCATTAATTTACTCCTCAATTACGTTTAATAACCGAGTTTATTCATTTATTAATTTCTACCATTACTCAAGCATTTATTTATGAAATTGCACACGCTGTTCACATAAGATTCTTTATTATGAGTGTAATGTTTAACGTGAGGACTATCTTCGTAACACAATCGAGTCACATTAACCCCAACGTTTTCGCGATAATCAGCAAAGTATTCAATATCCTAAAAAAAAAACATAATTAATTATTTAATTTAATTCAATTCGAGAATTTGCAACAACCTGATATGGAATCAAAACGTCGGCTTTTGAGTAAATAAAATGTTGCGGCCAGGTATTTTTTTCTTTTTTCAATATTTCGAACGGATCCGATTGGATGGAGCACCCCAGTTTTAAAAGAGACGATAAAATCTGGTCAAATCAATTATTTTAAAATTTTAATTAATTTAAGTTAAGATTTTTTTTACCTCGTAAATCCACATTATGGAGCAAACGATCGTTATTAAAATCGACATTGGAAGGTTGTACCAAAAGGTTCCTCCGATTATATTCGAAATTGCTCGATATAAACTTCCAAGACGACGTTTTCCGGGTGCTGAATCCACTATTACACCCTTAATCTAAAAAAAAATTATATGTATATGATTCAAAAGCTTATTTTATTATTTTTGATTACTTTTATCATAATATTTTTTAAAATAATAAATTTTTTAATTTCCCTGTGAACAGTATGGTAATAAATTTAAGATTATCTTCCTGAATATTGATTGTATCAAAAAAATTTTCAAATAAAACTTGTTCAGAATTAAACAAGGAACAACGTTTGTAGGCACCATTTTTTTAAATCATCAATTTTTTAATTTCCCTCTGAATAGTATAGAAATGAAATTTGAGGATATCTTCCTAAATATTGTTTGTATCAAAATATTTTTCAAATAAAACTTGTTAAGAATTAAACAAGGAACAAGTTTTGTAGGCACCATTTTTTAAAATTATCAATTTTTTAATTTCCCTCTGAATAGTATAGAAATGAAATTTAAGGATATCTTCCTAAATATTGTTTGTATCAAAATATTTTTCAAATAAAACTTGTTAAGAATTAAACAAGGAACAACTTTTGTAGGCACCATTTTTTAAAATTATCAATTTTTTAATTTCCCTCTGAATAGTATAGAAATGAAATTTAAGGATATCTTCCTAAATATTGTTTGTATCAAAATATTTTTCAAATAAAACTTGTTAAGAATTAAACAAGGAACAACTTTTGTAGGCACCATTTTTTAAAATTATCAATTTTTTAATTTCCCTCTGAATAGTATAGAAATGAAATTTAAGGATATCTTCCTAAATATTGTTTGTATCAAAATATTTTTCAAATAAAACTTGTTAAGAATTAAACAAGGAACAACTTTTGTAGGCACCATTTTTTAAAATTATCAATTTTTTAATTTCCCTCTGAATAGTATAGAAATGAAATTTAAGGATATCTTCCTAAATATTGTTTGTATCAAAATATTTTTCAAATAAAACTTGTTAAGAATTAAACAAGGAACAACTTTTGTAGGCACCATTTTTTAAAATTATCAATTTTTTAATTTCCCTCTGAATAGTATAGAAATGAAATTTAAGGATATCTTCCTAAATATTGTTTGTATCAAAATATTTTTCAAATAAAACTTGTTAAGAATTAAACAAGGAACAACTTTTGTAGGCACCATTTTTTAAAATTATCAATTTTTTAATTTCCCTCTGAATAGTATAGAAATGAAATTTAAGGATATCTTCCTAAATATTATTTGTATCAAAATATTTTTCAAATAAAACTTGTTAAGAATTAAACAAGGAACAAGTTTTGTAGGCACAATTTTTTAAAATTATCATTTTTTTAATTTCCCTCTGAATAGTGTAGAAATGAAATTTAAGGATATCTTCCGAAATATTGTTTGTATCAAAATATTTTTCAAATAAAACTTGTTCAGAATTAAACAAGGAACAACGTTTGTAGGCACCATTTTTTAAAATTATCAATTTTTTAATTTCCCTCTGAATAGTATAGAAATGAAATTTAAGAATATCTTCCTAAATATTGTTTGTATCAAGATATTTTTCAAATAAAACTTGTTAGGAATTAAACAAGGAACAAGTTTTGTAGGCACCATTTTTTAAAATTATCATTTTTTTAATTTCCCTCTGAACAGTATAAAAATGAAATTCAAAGTTATCTTCCTAATTATTATTTGTATCAAAATATTTTTCAAATTAAACTTGTTAAGAATTAAACAAGGAACAACGTTTGTGGCACCATTTTTTAAAATTTTCAATTTTTTAATTTCCCTCTGAATAGTATAGAAATGAAATTTAAGGATATCTTCCTAAATATTGTTTGTATCAAAATATTTTTCAAATAAAACTTGTTCAGAATTAAAGAAGGAACAACGTTTGTAGGCATCATTTTTTAAAATTATCAATTTTTTAATTTCCCTCTGAATAGTATAGAAATGAAATTTAAGGATATCTTCCTAAATATTGTTTGTATCAAAACATTTTTCAAATAAAAGTTGATAAGTATTAAACAAGGAACAACTTTTGTAGGCACCATTTTTTAAAATTATCAATTTTTTAATTTCCCTCTGAATAGTATAGAAATGAAATTTGAGGATATCTTCCTAAATATTGTTTGTATCAAAATATTTTTCAAATAAAACTTGTTAAGAATTAAACAAGGAACAACTTTTGTAGGCACCATTTTTTAAAATTATCAATTTTTTAATTTCCCTCTGAATAGTATAGAAATGAAATTCAAGGTTATCTTCCGAAATATTGTTTGTATCAAAATATTTTTCAAATAAAACTTGTTAAGAATTAAACAAGGAACAACTTTTATTGGCACCATTTTTTAAAATTATCAATTTTTTAATAAAATAAGCTTTCGAATAATGTCATTTTTGACTAGTGGTTATATACAGGGTGTGTCAAATGTCTGGAATATAGTCAATAACTTCGCCATTTGTGATTTTAAAGAAAAGTGTTTCAAATACAAATTTCTTTATTAATCATTAAGGCACGAAACTTTTGTAACAAAAGGATACGATTTCCCCCCTCCACTTGATCTCTGTGGCTTCCTAGAAAACAAATCCAAAAAAAACTAGCCAATGAGAACAAGTGGAGGGGGGAAATTGTATCATTTTGTTACAAAACTTCCGTGCCCTATTAATCATGGCGCATTTTTTGGCGTTATTTGCTTGTTTGTATTGTTTTTTGTTTCGTTGCTATGGCAACAATATTGTTATTTTAAATGGGATGCATATATTTTTTTGCATACTTTGATAGAGAAAGGATAAATCCCTCTATGCGATGAACATATCAATTCATAATCAACTAATTACAATCAAAGTAGGCGCCGAAATAACGCCGTTTACAGCTTTAAATGTCAAAAAATTGACAGTTTAAACAAATGTGGCGCAATTAAGCGAACGACAAAGAATCCAAATATTAATAATGTATGGAATAAAAACTTGGATACACAAATTACACAATATCCAAAATATTAAAAAAAAAATTTAGCACCGGAAGCACCATATGATTTGATATGTTCATCGCATAGAGGGACCTATCCTCTATCAAAGTACGCAAAAAAATAATAATGTTGGTTGCCATAGCAACGAAAGAAAGAACAATGTAAACAAGCAAGTATCGTCAAAAAATGCGCCACAATTAATAAAGAATTTTTTATTTGAAATGTTTCTCTTTAAAACCACAAATTGCGATGTTATTGGCTATATTCCAGACATTTGGCACACCCTGTATAAGGTGGGTTAATTTTTAATCAGGAAACTTTACTAGGACGTAGTACTTAGCAAAATAACATAAGTTTTTTATACAGTTTTTGTCCTACTGATTAATACCTTATTTTCAAAGATACCTTAAACTTCCCTAGCGCCCTCTAAGGGGATGAAATTCACAACCGCTTTGATTTTTTTATAACAACTTTTTAACGACATGGAATATTAACGTAAAAAGATATGGGTTGTAAAGCTTATTCATTATTGGTACTTTTTTATCTCTTTAGTTTTTTCTTTAAAAATAATAGTTTTAGCGTAAAAAAATATAATATGCTACATTGTACTGTAAAGCACAACTATGTGAATGTCTCTCTAACAAATTACTTGATACTCTTGCTTAATAACAGTCAAAAATCATCAACAATTATGAGATCTCACCATAAATGAAACTTACAAGTTCTCAGAACCAACTTTTAGAATAATATTAGCTCAACATAGCGGTACATGGCACGATATTTTATTTTTTTATACGAAAACTATTAACTTTAAGGAAAATACTAAAGAGACAAAAAAGTACCACTAAAGAATGAGCTTTACACCCCATATTTTTTTATCTTAAAATTTTATGGCGTTAAAAAGATCTTATAAAAAAAATCCATCCTAGTAAAGTTTCCCGATTAAAAAATGAACCACCCTGTATATATAAATTGTAATAATATGATATCAAATAAAATTTCTCGGTTTAATAACACACCATCTTAAACTATGCCTTTATGAAACAGTATCAATTAAGTTAAGTTTTAAATTGAGTCAAGGTCACTTGCGACCGAAGCGCTACAATTGCTGCTTCCATGATGCTTAGGAAGCAAGTGACTTTGGCTTAAATAAAACTTAGAAAGTGCAATTTCTTATCGCTCATTATATATTATATCTTAATAAAGATACCAAGTCTCTTATTAGATGAAATTTACCCTCAAACCGACGAGGTCGATATAATCCTCTAAAGTTATATATATATCATATCGTTATATATACATGCTCTTATATATATATAAATTAAAATCAATCTATTTTTAAAAGATCTCGAAGGTCAAATGAATTCACGTTTATTAAAACGTCTATCAATATTGAAACTAGATCAGATTGACGAAATAAAAAAAAAATTAAAACAATTTGTTCTTGCCTGTAACGGTTTTGGGCTTTTCGATAAAGCGGAAGAAAAATTTTGATACAAAAAAGCCCCCCCATTCGAGAAGCAATGTACGACGATGGGATGACTTTCAAAATTTAAATCGATGAGTAGTTTGACGATTTTTTGTCCGATTTGTATCATTTGATAACGTTTCCAAAACAGGCATTTCACGGGCGCCGTATATCGCAGAGTGATTAAACTAAAAAAAAAAACGATTTTGATTATTATCTTAGTTGAGAATAAATAAGATTGGAAAGACTTACCCTCGCTCCTCGTAGATTTGCGAATACTTGGAGAGATATTTGTCTTGACAGCCGGCCCAGCCGAATAAAAGGATCACGGGGACTTTGTTTTCGTCGATAACGAATACGAAATCGCTGTCGCCGTTCGTTGTTTGCGTGTAATTGTAATTCGGGTTCGGGAATTTGATGTAATACTCCAAGTTGTCTAGTTCTGCCATGTTTCTGCGTTTGAAATGCGCGCGCATGTCCCCACGGTGGTAATCGATTCAATTCTCACCCGCCACCTGACGTCTAACACTTCCATTACGACTTGTCTTATTTGATGTTTAAAACAAATTATTTGTGCCAACTTCAAAAAATTTTATTTTCCCAATCATTCAAATTCTAATTTCATATTTTTTATTTATTACATTAAAGAAATTCGTTTAAATTAATACGAATTATATGAAGAGATTATTATTGTATATGAAAAGTGCTTTAAAATAAGTCCAAACACGGTGTGGTTATCTTTAAAAACAAAAAAAGTTAACCATAGTATCTAGATAAATCAAGCCGCCATCTTAAAAAAATCGTTTTGCGTTAAATATGGCGATTTTTGTGTCATTTTAAAAGATTTTTTTAGATTTTTTAATATAGAAATCTAAAAAAAATTATTTTTTGAGGTGACTTAACCCAACTTAATTAAATTTTTTTGAAGCAAAACATTTTTTAATGTCAAATTATTATTGCTTATAAAAAATCCTTTAAAATAAGCCCAAACACGGTGTGGTTATCTTTAAAAATAAAAAAGTTAACCTTAATATCTAGATAAATCTAGCCGCCATCTTTAAAAAAAATCGTTTTGAGATCAATATGGCGTGTTTGGTGTCATTTTAAAGTATTTTTAATGTAGATTATGAATTTTAACATAAAAATTTAAAAAAAATATATTTCAAGGTGATTTAACGCAAGTTAATTAAATCTTTTGAAGTAAAATTGTTTTGATGATGAATTCTTATAGTATATAAAAAATCCTTTAAAATAAGTCCAAACACGATGGGGTTAACTTTTACAATAAAAAAGTTAACTTTAATATCTAGATAAGTCAAGCCGCCATCTTTAAAAAAATCGTTTTGAGATAAATATGGCGTGTTTGGTGTCATTTTAAAGTATTTTTAATGTAGATTATGAATTTTAACATAAAAATTAAAAAAAAATATTTTTCAAGGTAACTTAATGCAAGTTGATTAAATCTGTTGAAGTAAAATTGTTTTGATGATGAATTCTTATAGTGTATGAAAAATCCTTTAAAATAAGTCCAAACACGATGTGGTTATCTTTTAAAATAAAAAAGTTAACTTTAATATCTAGATAAGTCAAGCCGACATCTTAAAAAAAATCGATTTGAGATAAATATGGCGTGTTTGGTGTCATTTTAAAGTATTTTTAATGTAGATTATGAATTTTAACACAAAAATTAAAAAAAAATATATTTCAAGGTGACTTAACGCAAGTTAATTAAAACTTTTGAAGTAAAGTTGTGTTGATGATGAATTCTTATAGTGTATGAAAAATCTTTTAAAATAAGTCCAAACACGATGTGGTTATCTTTTACAATAAAAAAGTTAACTTTAATATCTATATAAGTCAAGCCGCCATCTTAAAAAAATCGTTTTGAGATAAATATGGCGTGTTTGGTGTCATTTTAAAGTATTTTTAATGTAGATTATGAATTTTAACATAAAAATTAAAAAAAAATATTTTTCAAGGTGACTTAACGCAAGTTAATTAAAACTTTTGAAGTAAAGTTGTGTTGATGATGAATTCTTATAGTGTATGAAAAATCTTTTAAAATAAGTCCAAACACGATGTGGTTATCTTTTACAATAAAAAAGTTAACTTTAATATCTAGATAAATCAATCCGCCATCTTGAAAAATACTTTTTAAGATAAATATGGCGTGTTTGGTGTCATTTTAAAGGGTTTTTAATGTAGATTACGAATTTTAACATAAAAATTTTAAATAATTATTTCAATATGACTTAATTCAACTTAATTAGATTTTTTTGAAGTAAAACATTTTTTTAATGTTAAATTATTATTCTATATAAAAAATCCTATAAAATAAGTCCAAACATGGTGTGGTTATCTTTAAAAATAAAAATAATTAACCTTAATATCTAGATAAATTAATCCGCCATCTTGAAAAATACTTTAAGATAAATATGGCGTGTTTGGTGTCATTTTAAAGGATTTTTAATGTAGATTACGAATTTTAACATAAAATTAAAAAAAAATATTTTTCAAGATGACTTAACCCAACTTAATTAAATTTTTTTGAAGTAAAACATTTTTTAATGTTAAATTATTATTCTATATAAAAAATCCTATAAAATAAGTCCAAACACGGTGTGGTTATCTTTAAAAATAAAAAAGTTAACCTTAATATCTAGATAAGTCAAGCCGCCATCTTAAAAAAAATAGTTTTNTTTTTAATGTTAAATTATTATTCTATATAAAAAATCCTATAAAATAAGTCCAAACACGGTGTGGTTATCTTTAAAAATAAAAAAGTTAACCTTAATACCTAGATAAGTCAAGCCGCCATCTTAAAAAAAATCGTTTTAAGATAAATATGGCGTGTTTGGTATCATTTTAAAGGACTTTTAATGTAGATTACGAATTTCAACATAAAATTTAAAAAAAAATATTTTTCAAAATGACTTAACCCAACTTAATTAAACTTTTTTGAAGTAAAACGTTTTTTAATGTTAAATTATTATTGTATATAAAAAATCCTATTAAATAAGTCCAAACACGGTGTGGTTATCTTTAAAAATAAAAAAGTTAACCTTAATATCTAGATAAATCAACTCGCCATCTTGAAAAATAATTTTTAAGATAAATATGGCGTGTTTGGTAGCATTTTAAAGGGTTTTTAATGTAGATTACGAATTTTAACATAAAAATTTTAAATAATTATTTCAATATGACTTAACTCAACTTAATTAGATTTTTTTGAATTAAAACATTNAGATAAATCAATCCGCCATCTTGAAAAATAATTTTTAATATAAATATGGCGTGTTTGGTGTCATTTTAAAGGATTTTTAATATAGATTACGAATTTTAACATAAAATTTAAAAAAAAATATTTTTCAAGATGACTTAACCCAACTTAATTAAACTTTTTTGAAGTAAAACATTTTTTAATGTTAAATTATTATTCTATATAAAAAATCCTATAAAATAAGTCCAAACACGGTGTGGTTATCTTTAAAAATAAAAAAGTTAACCTTAATATCTAGATAAGTCAAGCCGCCATCTTAAAAAAAATAGTTTTAAGATAAATATGGCGTGTTTGGTATCATTTCAAAGGATTTTTAATGTAGATAATGAATATTAACAAAAAAAATTTAAAAAAAATAGTTTTTAAGATGACTTAACTCAACTTAATTAGATTTTTTTGAAGTAAAACATTTTTTAATGTTAAATTATTATTGCATATAAAAATCCTATAAAATAAGTCCAAACACGGTGTGGTTATCTTTAAAAATAAAAAAGTTAACCTTAATATCTAGATAAATCTATCCGCCATCTTGAAAAATAATATTTAAGATAAATATGGCGTGTTTGGTATCATTTTAAAGGATTTTTAATGTAGATAACGAATTTTAACGTAAAAATTTTTTAATGCGTTAACTTTAGAAAAGTTAACCTCAATTTCTAGATAAATCAAGCCGCCATCTTAAAAAAAAACACCTTTTGAGATAAACATAGCGTGTTTGGTGTCATTTAAAAGGATTTTTGATCTAGATTACGAATTTGACCTCAATTTTTAAAATTGACGTGCTTTATACATCAACTTGACGTAAAATGTCAAAAAAAATGATTTTTTTATTACAAATAGAGTTCAGAGAAACATTTATTCCGATGGGTTTTTATGGAATTAAGAAAACGAATCAAAATAAAAACGTAATTTTATTTTATTTACAAATAATTAAAAAGACACTTAAAGAAAAAAAATGAATTTAATTATTTTCTTTCTTGGGGAAGAGGAAAAAACGGATTTATTCAAAAAAAAAAAGATAATAATTATGGTGTCACATACAATATAATAGTATAAGTTTGAAATTTTCAAATTGAACTAGTGGAACCCCTCGTTAAATTTATAGCCTGAGCCAATACATGGCGCTACGAATCCTGTTGTAGTCGGGAAGTTGCTCAACCGGGCCAACTGCAGCAACAGCGGGGCACCGATCGTAAATGTACTTGTAACAAACGTCTCGGACGTTTTTCGCGGTCACCGATTCAATGCGATGAGTCAATTCATGCGGGGGAATACGCCTTCCATAACACAAAATTTGACGACCTAAAAATTTCATTAATTAATTAATTAATAATTTAATTTTAATAATTAATTTACCAATATCTTCACAAACGGCGGTTGTTGTATCTAATTGCAACAAAGTATTAGCTGTTAACAAAGCTTTAGCACGCTCAACTTCCCCATCAGTGAGACTAGTACAAAGTCTCATCAATTCTTCTTGAACATGGAACACCATATCCTCAATTTTCAAGGGATCAGAAACGAAATAAATCCCCCAAAGCCCGGTGTCTTTATAACAAGTGTTAAAACTTTGAAACGAATGGCATAAATCCCCTTCAGCGCTCGCCCTCGCCAAATTAGTCGCGTTTTGTTTCCCCGACGCTTGAGAACGATCCCAAGCCCCCAATAAAGTACTCGCAACCATTAAAGTTAAAGTATCAGGGTCGGTCCAACCCGCTCCTTCAACCGCCAATGCAATATGAGCCAAAGGAAGGGAATCATCGCGAACTCTAACTTCAGATCCGGTAAAACGACATGGAGTTAAACAGGGAACTTCCCCTTTATATTCATTATCTAAAATTAGATTGAATTAGAATTAATTTTTTTGATTAATCTTTTATAATTACTTATTTTTCCAAAATTTTCTTTAACCATATTGACCAATTCGTTGTGTTTAACCCCTCCAGCACCAGCAATAACAATTCGACTGGCTTTGTAATGATTATCTAAGTATTGGCGAAGATCCCCGGAGTTAATCGATCGAATATTAGCAGTTGGCCCCAAAATAGTATTCGCTAAAGGAGTCCCTTGATAAGCTACCGAATGTAAATGATCAAAAACGACTTCTTGTAGATTCGACTCGACCTCTTGCATCTCCCGCAAAATAACCCCACGTTCCCTTTCAATTTCTTGCTCACCCAATTTTGCACATTGCACAATATCAGATAAAATCTCCAAAGCTTTCGGTACATCTTTAGCCAAACACTTTGAGTAATAAACAGTTTGTTCTCTGCTTGTGTAAGCGTTTAATTGAGCCCCCATATCTTCAATTTCAATCTCTAATTGGCTTTGAGAACGTTTCCCGGTACCCTATTTTGCAATAAAATTAATAATTTAATCATTTTAGTATCAAAAATTAACCTTAAACGCCATATGCTCCATAAAATGAGCCACTCCATTATTTTTCGTATTCTCATACCGACTCCCGGCATCAATCCAAATCCCAACCGTTGCTGTTGGTGAACCCCAATCTTCCGTTGCAACTCTAATCCCTAAAATAATAAAAAAAATAACCTCACATTTAAAACATAACCTCACTTACCGTTATCTAAACAGGTAACTTGAGTCGGCGGGACGTTCAATAAAACTTCTTGGGTTTTAGCGGCAGTTGCGGCTCCTCTTAAGTTCTTATTCAACTAAAATCGAGGAAATAATCAAATTTATCTCTTACGTAATAAGTATCAACGATTTTGACGAAAAAAATCGCGAATTTTTGGTACTTATCGTTGTAAAGGTTCGGTTAATAAAGTAATCGCGAGTACATACCTGTGTGAGGGCCCCATTTTTCGTTAATTTCGCAGCCGATTTCGTTAACTTAAGAAAGGACGCCATTTTTTCCCGAAATGACAGCTCAAGACGTTGTGAAGTTAGTTAGATGTTAGAGGGAGTTGGTGTGAAGTTATCTCTGGTGTGAAGTTACTACATTAAATTTTGATTTCGAGATAAATTAATTAATTTTTCGATTATTATAACATTTTATGATTTCGAAAAGGACTTGTTTGATTTTGAAAAAGACGTTTCTATAAATAAATCAATGTCAATTAATTTTTTTTTGTTTATTTAGAAATTAATTTAATTAACAAATTGAAGATGGCGCTGTTCTTTATTTATTTATTTATTTATTAATTCGATTTTTATTAACAAATTAATTTACATTTTAAACCCATTTTATTTAATTTATTTATTTTAAATTAATACAAGATGGCGCCACTTTCGTTTTTAATCCAGTTTAATAAGTGAGGTTATGTGCGTATTTTTACGCCTAGTTTTGGGAGTGTTTTCGTCGATTTTTCATGTTTCACCTCTAAATAACATCCGTTACGGTTTCTCGGCATCAAAATGAGTAATTAACCTTCATAATTATCGTATATGCAATAATCGCAACATTTCTTACAGCCCAAGAGGAAGTAAACAAATTGCGGCAACATCTAAAGCTATTAAAAGAGGAATATTCGCTCCTTCAAACGAGACACAACGATTTAGAAAGTAAACATCAAAAATTGTCGGCTTCACTTGATGATCACGTCGATTCGGATGACACTTTCGCCCATCGCTTATTAAATAAAATCAAAGCTTTGTATAGATCGGAAATTTACAGTGATTTAAAAGTGAAACTAAAATCTCGCGAATTAAACGTGCACAAATTAGTTTTAACGTCTCGTTCGGATGAGTGGAATGATAATTTACTTTCGGATAAATCGGTAATCGATTGGAGCGATTTAGAGGAAGAAATCGCGGAGGATATTCTCAAATTTATTTACACAAACGAAGTTGAATTAAAAGACGACGAGATAACCCTAAAGTTAATGGCACAAGCTTTTAAATTCAAGCTATATGATTTGGTTAAAAGATGCGAAATGGTTCTGATTAAAAACGCAAACGTGAGGAATTGCGTTAAATTTTATTCGTACGCCGAAGAGAGCGATGCGAATCGATTAAAGGAGTATTGTTCAGGGTTGATTTCCACGTTTTGGGACGATTTGGGCGCCTCCGACTTCGAACACATGTCCGGACAATTACTTTATAAGATGTTGGCGAAATCGCAACTTCCATTGCATGCAGCCGTGAAGTTACAAAGGGAGGATGTCGTGTTTTTGTGTTTGGTGGAGAATTCGTCGAAGGTGAGTCAATTTTTATTAATTAATTCGATTAAAGTGACAGATGACACAAACATAACCTCAAAAAATTGACATTTATTTTTTAATTTACATACATAGTAAATCTATTAAGTTATTTTAAAGTATTTATTAAAATAAATAAATTTCTATTTCTACAACGTTCAATAAACTACGAAAATTGAAGGTTAATTTATCGCCTTTATCACTTTTGACAGAAATCTCCGCGTTTAGAGCGCCATCTATCAAAAGAATTTATAAATAAAGACTGCAAAAACTTTTTAATTCATACTTTTTAAGTAATTTTAAAGTATTTATTTAAAAAAAAATCTTTTATTGCTACAACGTCCAATAAACTACGAAAACTCGCAGTTTTTTTCTCCTTTTAAGATTAATTTATCACTTTTGACAAAAATCTCCGCGTTAAAGCGCCATCTATCAAAAATATCTATAAATAAAGACAGCAACAACTTAATTTATTTCAAAAAAATAAACTTCTACTTCAACAACGTTCAATAAACTACGAAAACTGAGTTTTTTTCTTTTTAAATGTTAATTTATCTTTGCTTTGTATCACCTTTGTTAATTTTGACAGAAATCTCAAATTAAATTACAGGAAACTATAAAATTGTATTACACACATAACCTCAAAAAATTGACATTTATTTATTTTTAATTTACGTACATAAAATATTTATTCATTGTCTTTTACTTATGTTATGATAAAAATGATTTGAACACTATCGAGGTGAAAGCTATCACAGATACAAAATAAACCCCCCCGAAAACGTTTCGATTTAACGTTGAATTGCATAAATGACGTCGGCAGTAACAATGTTCTGTATACGATATCTTCAAACCTTTATTATCGATTGTAATGCAACCTTCCTCGTAAGGTTCTTGCACTTCAACCTCTCCGTGCCAACGCTGTTCGGCCCTGTTATATTTTTGGTACTCATATTTTTGTTTTGCACAGCCTCTCGACGTGACATTAATTTGTCCTAAAATTGAAAATTAATTTGTTAAGGTTAAATTAAGACAATTAATTGATTAATCACCTGTGATTTTAACCGATGAAAACCTTTTTTCGCACATCGTGGAGAATTCACAATCGACAATGTACGCTTCCGAAAAATCGAAATGCGAACAAAGCCGGGTTTTTGCACCATCTTGCGCGGTGCGAACTTGCGAGCACTCATAACATTTGATGGCGTTGGTACGGGATAAACATAAAAAAAAATTAATTCAATAAATTTTAATTAATTCATTTTGAAACATTATTAGGGATTTTGTATATTAGGTCAATTGACATAAAATAATTTAATGACAGGTGAAAATGTCAAAAATGTGATTAAAAATTAAAAACCACGACAAAAAGAATGTTTTAATATATTAATAACGATTTTTAAAGGAAATGTTGAGTCACATTTCCGTTGACCGTATAAAAAGTATCGATAGGAGAATAACGTGACGATTTGTGGTCTCGATAAGAATGAAAAAACATTAAAAAAACGTTCTATTTACGGTTGCGTTCAAGGCCCCCACGCAATTCCCCAAACGACGCGAATGGAATTTATAAATTATCGCCTGAAACACTTTTTTAATAACGTTTTTAGGTAATAATAAATTTTCTCTTTTTTAATCGATTTTATAATTACTGGGGGGGGTTATTGCCCTCAATTTCAGCATTATTTACTCAAAATTAAGAAAAATCGTTATACACCTTTTACCTTACAATAACTTGCAATTTACTTCATTATAAACACAATCCTTTCTAAGTTAAACGGCACAAAAAAGACGTCGTTGTGTAATAACCTTGTATTATAAAAGACCTTTTGCGAAATGAAAGTAAAATAAGGACGCAATTTTTTATTTTAATTACTTTTTTATGCACTCTGTACATTATAACCCAAAAAAATTAAATAAAAAAAGCGTTATCTCTTACTAGATATAAATATCACAGAAAGAAGTAGGTAGTGATTCATTTCTCTTGGCTCTCTTTAATGTTTTTCGGTCATTGGTCTCCAATTAACTAATAATTCGGTCGAAAATTGATTTGTAACACATTTAATTTTTCACTGCAACAATTTAGTCTTTCTAAATCATACTCGTTAAGTAACTTTAAAGTATTTATTTCAAAAAAAATAAACTTCTACTTCTACAACGTTCAACAAACTACTGAAAACTGAAAGTTTTTTTCTCCTTTTGAGGTTAACTTATCGCCTTTGTCACTTTTGACAGAAATCTCCGCGCTAAAAGCGCCATCTATCAAAAATATCCATAAATAAAGATTGCAACAACTTAATTTTTTTAAATCAAACTTTTTAAGTAACTTTAAAGTATTTATTTAAAAAAAAATAAACTTCTACTTCTACAACGTTCAACAAACTACTGAAAACTGAAAGTTTTTTTCTCCTTTTGAGGTTAACTTATCGCCTTTGTCACTTTTGACAGAAATCTCCGCGTTAAAAGCGCCATCTATCAAAAATATCCATAAATAAAGATTGCAACAATTTAATTTTTTTAAATCAAACTTTTTAAGTAACTTTAAAGTATTTATTAAACTTCTATTTCAACAACGTTGAATAATCTACGAAAACTGAGTTTTTTTTCGCGTTTAAAGGTTAATTTATCGCCTTTCTCCTTTTTGATAGAAATCCTCGCATTAAAGCGTCCTCTATAATGTCAAATTAAATTACAGGAATCTATAAAATTAAATTAATTATTTTTCCTCTTTATTTTTAAGTTATCGGATATCGTGAATCTATGGGGCCCCAACAACGATTTACCATTAGATTTAGCGTTAAAAGCAAAAAACGAAAGCATCGCAACAACTTTAATCCAGCACAACGCCGACGTCAACATTAGAGATCCTTCCGGAGACACCCTTTTACACCGAGCCATCAAAAACGACGACGATTTCTCAGCTTTATTTTTATTACACAGTAATTGCGACGCAACTTTAACAACAAGGTACTTCTAAATCAAATTTTAACTAATTTAGTCATTTTTTAAATAAAAATTTTTTAAATTTTAGATCAGAAAATGATTCCGCTTTACACCTTTTAGCCGGCTCGCACTTAATGAAGAATTCCTTAAAAATAGCGGAGAAATTAATCAATAGAAACGTGAATATAAACGCGCGAAATCGGCAAGGATTGTAAGTAAATTAAAAAAAATACAACATAACCCCAAATTTTAATTTTAATTAAATTATTTTAGCACCGCATTACACATTGCGATCATTTCGGATAATCGAAACGTTTTCGACGTTCTCCTCCACCAAGAAAACCTTGATTTAAACGTTTTAAACGATCAAAATAAAACCCCGCTTTATTACGCCCTCAGAAAATACGAAGCAGGGCAAGATTCTCGCGACTCATACGCTTTACAATTATTAGAAAAAGGGGCTAAACTCGATTTGGATCGCTCAGACAACGACGACGATCTCCTCCAAATCTTATTGATCGAAAAAGCCGAAAAAACAGCGATGTTTTTGTTGGAAAAAACCTCAAATATTAACCACAAAAATAAATTTGGGGAAACTTTGTTGCATACGGCGTGTTTAAACGATTGTCCCCAATTCATTGATAAAGTTTTAAAGCTTGGGGCGAACGCGAATTTGGTCACCTTTGATGTGAATCGATCCCCTTTGCATTACGCCATCGATAGTAACTCAGAAAGATGTATCAAGGCGTTTATTGAGTTTAATAAAAACGTGGGGGATACCGAAAAAGTTAATTTTAATTTACGAGATTGCGAAGGTGACGCTCCCGTGAGTTACGCCCTCAATTTGGGGAAAAAAAATTTGGTCCCCATCTTAATTAAAGGAGGGGCTGATGTCAATGTGAGAAATGGAAAAGATTTTACTTTGTTGCATCAAGCCATTTTGAAAGAAGACTCAGAAATTGCTTTATTTTTATTAGAATTAGGAGCAGATATGAACGCGAAGTAAGTTTTAACGCTTTATTTGTTCTTTTTTTAATATTTATTTTAATTACAGAACCACCGAGTATGAAACCCCACTTCAATTAGCAATTCACTGCCGATTAGGAGACGTCGTTGATGCGCTTTGTACTCGCGGTGTTGATACATCAGCCCCTGATCGACTTGGAAATTGCGCTTTATGGGCTGCTTTGGATTCGGGGCAAGATGATATTGCAAGCGTTTTAGTCCAACATGGTGCTGATACTGATTGTTGGGGAGCTGGTCCAGATAATTGCCGACAAACGCTGCTACATCGCGCGATTGATGAAAATAAAGAACCCGCGGCGATTTTTTTAATCCAAGCCGGGTGTGATTTGAATTCACCAAGAAAACCTGGTCCAAACGGCGAAGGGGGCGATGAGGCGAAAGATAACGCTTCCCCTTTACATTTATGTTGTCAATGGGGGTTAGAACCAGTCGTGCAAACCTTAGCGGAACACGGAGCCAACGTAAATAGTCGCGATTTAAAAAATAAAACCCCGCTACATTACGCCATTGAAAATCATCATGATTCAATCATCGAGTTATTATTGAGAGTCCCCGAAATCGATTTAAATTTGAGGGATAAATCAGGATTGAGCCCGTTTGCGAGTGCGTTAACTTTTAGGAATAATAAAGCGGCGCAAGCGATTTTAAATAAATTTCCATCAGCTGCTGAACAGGTTGGTACTAATTATTAAAAAAAAAAAAAAATTGGGTTGGTATTATCCAATTTCAATGAAATTTTTTTGTTTTTTTACGGTTGGCAATAAATAATTTGACGTTTACTAAAAAAATAAGCCAATAAATACAAATAAAAACAAAACGTTGCGTTAAAACGGCAGATAATAACAAATAAAATTAATTTGACGTTTACAAAATGAGGTTAGGGTTTATCTTTGTGCATAATCACGTGGGAAATTAAAAATCCTTTAATTCGAGTCCAAACACGACCCAATTATCTTAAAAAACACCCGAGATATCCCACATTTAATTTTGACATAACCTCAAAAAAGTGACAACCGGAAGTTGGTGGTGTATGTTGTTTTTTAAGATAACTCGGCTCATTTTAAAGGGAATTTAATGTAGATTACGAATACGATGTTAGATTAATCAAATTGAAGATGATTTAAAAAAAATGATTCGATTTCAACGAAATTAAATTTCGGGTATTTTTAGATCTAGAAATAAAGAATTTTATTATCATTTAATTAAAATTATTAATCAAGATGGCGAAAAATATCAAACAATATCAATTTGACGTTTGTAAAGTGAGGTTAAGTTCTTTTTTTGTTCATAATCGGGTGGAGAATTAAAAATCCTTGAAATCGAGTCCAAACATGACCCAATTATCCTAAAAAACACCCGAGATATCCAACATTTAATTTTGACATAACCTCAAAAAAGTGACAACCGGAAGTTTGTTGTCTTTTAAGATAACTCGACCGAGTTTGGGCTCGTTTTAAAGAGAATTTAATAAAGATTACGAATACGATGTTGGTTTAATTAAATTCAGTCAAAATAAAGACAAAATGGCGGATAATTCAATGAAAAAAGAGACGATTAATATCAAACAATATCATTTTGACGTTTACAAAGTGAGGTTAGGTTCTTTTTTTATTCATAATCGGGTGGAGAATTAAAAATCCTTAAAATCGAGTCCAAACACGACCTAATTATCCTAAAAAACACCCGAGATATCCAACATTTAATTTTGACATAACCTCAAAAAAGTGACAACCGGAAGTTTGTTGTCTTTTAAGATAATTCGACCGAGTTTGGGCTCGTTTTAAAGAGAATTTAATATAGATTACGAATACGATGTTGGTTTAATTAAATTCTGTCAAAATAAAGATAATATGGCGGATAATTCAATGAAAAAAGATACGATTTGAACGAAATTAAGTTCGCGGGGGACTTTTATTTAAAAATATAGAATTTCGCTATTATTTAATTAAAATTATTAATCTGTCTTTGATAGGAGAACTTGGGATTGATTATAGGTCGCAATCTCCCCGTGAGATGGCATTAGCGTCTATACTGCAATGATTTAATTAAACTAACAATTTTATTATTACAAGTGGGAACGATCAGAGATAGCAATAACAATTATTACCAGTATCATTCTTTTAATTTAAAAAGTATAGATTTTAATTCGTGTTATATTTTTAAATTTGCCGCTAACTTCAACTCTTAAAATTTATAAGTTGAAGTTTGTTCAAAATGACATGAAAACGTCATTTTAAAGTGATTTTTCGGTAAGAGTATAACAAAGTAATAATGGTATGATTAAAAATAATTAGATTATAATTGACATTATAGCTTTGTTCAGCTAACGTTATAACTGGTTGGAAGCTCGTCAGATGCAATCTCACATGTCATTTTGGCATTATTTGACAGGTGTAATTGCCATAGGTAATTGCATCTGAGGAATTCCCAACCAGTCGGAATGTTAATTGGAGCCACATAAAGGCTCCAAACACTTTCCAAACAGTTATTCTGTGGTTGGAGCTTTATTTATTTATATAACCCAATCCAACCTGTATTCTAGTGGTTCGGTTCTTAGCTGAATAATTCCAAAATATCCTCAACAGATGGCGCTATTTTCTATGATGTTTATTGTAAATGTCAAAATCAAAAACATAACCTAAAATTTCAAAAAAATTATTTTATTTTTTAGTTTGATTCAAAAGGTTATAATTTTCTACACACCGCAATTAAAAAGGGCGATATTGAAAGCGTTTTATTTTTACTTTCAATTAATGTGAACGTAAATTCGAGGGTTCAAGATACGAGTTTATCTCCGTGTTTACATTTGGCCGCTCAATACGGAAATGAGACGCTCGTAAGAAGTTTGTTGTTGGCGGGGGCGAGGATTGAAGATGTTGATAGTTCAAAGTATGTTATTTAACTTTTTATTAATAATATACCTATAGTTACTAAAAAAAAATTTTTTTTTTAGACGAACTGCTTTACATGTTGCTTCGGAATGCGGTAATACCCCGATTGTTGCTGCGTTACTACAAAATCATATCCCTTATAATGCTACGGATACAAACGGAGATAATGCGCTTCATGTTGCGGTTAGGGAAGGGCATTTAAATGTCGTAAGTATTTTTTTTTAGTTAAAAATGTAGTTTATACTTAGAAAATTTTTGTTTTAGGTAAAAACTTTATTGACGGAATCAGAAATAGATGCGGAAGCTGTCAACATAAAAGGTCGCAATCCGCTACACGAATTATGTTACTTCAGCAAAGATAATTCAGCTGCTATTTGCGAATTTTTTTTGGAGTCAATGCCTGAATACCCGATTGATAGACCGGATGTTAATGTAATTATTTTCAACTAATTGTTAATAATAGTATTAATTTTTTTTTTGTAGGGAAATACCCCATTACTTTTAGCTTATATGAGAGCTAACGGCCAATTATGTCGCGTTTTAGTACGAGCTAAAGCTTCTTTGGCGATTGAAAATAACGAAAATGTTAATATTTTTAATTATCAGGTAAATTTTTTTTTATTTTAAGTTTGAGTGCCAAGTTGTATTGAAAAAAAATCCTAAATGAGCGCATCATATATATTAAACGCCGAGGTCGCTTGCGGCCGAGGCACTAGAGTTGATTTCTTATTGACAAATACTTGATTAACACGATAATAAGCATCATATATAGTTAAATCGCCGAGGTCGCTTGTGGCCGAAGCACTAGAGTGATTTCTTATTGGCAAATACTTGATCAACACTGCAATAAAGTATCACATATACTCAAAATGCCGAGGTCGCTTGCGGCCGAGGCACTAGAGTTGTTTCTTATTGACAAATACTTGATCAACACGATAATAAGCAGCATATATACTCAAAATGCCGAGGTCGCTTGCGGCCGAGGCACTAGAGTTGATTTCTTATTGACAAATACTTGATCAACACGATAATAAGCAGCATATATACTCAAATCGCCGAGGTCGCTTGCGGCCAAGGCACTAGAGTTGATTTTTTATTGACAAATACTTGATCAACACGATAATAAGCATCATATATACTCAAATCGCCGAGGTCGCTTGCGGCCGAGGCACTAGAGTTGATTTTTTATTGACAAATACTTGATCAATACTGCAATAAAGTATTACATATACTCAAAATGCCGAGGTCGCTTGCGGCCGAGGCACTAGAGTTGATTTTTTATTGACAAATACTTAATCAATACTGCAATAAAGTATCACATATACTCAAAATGCCGAGGTCGCTTGCGGCCGAGGCACTAGAGTTGATTTCTTATTGACAAATACTTGATCAACACTATAATAAGCATCATATATACTCAAATCGCCGAGGTCGCTTGCGGCCGAGGCACCAGAGTTGATTTCTTATTGGCAAATACTTGATCAACACTGCAATAAAGTATCACATATACTCAAAATGCCGAGGTCGCTTGCGGCCGAGGCACTAGAGTTGATTTCTTATTGACAAATATTTGATCAACACGATAATAAGCATCATATATATTTAAATCGCCGAGGTCGCTTGCGGCCGAGGCATTAGAGTGATTTCTTATTGGCAAATACTTGATCAACACGATAATAAGCATCATATATACTCAAAACGCCGAGGTCGCTTGTGGGCGAGGCGCTAGAATTGAGTTCTTATCAACAAATACTTGGTCATTACTACAATAAAACATCATATATACTCAAAATGCCGAGGTCGCTTGCGGCCGAGGCACTAGAGTTGATTTCTTATTGACAAATACTTGATCAACACGATAATAAGCATCATATATACTCTAATCGCCGAGGTCGCTTGCGGCCGAGGCACTAAAGTTGATTTCTTATTGACAAATACTTGATCAACTCGATAATAAGCATCATATATACTCAAATCGCCGAGGTCGCTTGCGGGCGAGGCACTAGAGTTGATTTCTTATTGACAAATACTTGATCAACACGATAATAAGCATCATATATACTTAAATCGCCGAGGTCGCTTGCGGCCAAGGCACTAGAGTGATTTCTTATTGCCAAATACTTGATCAACACTGCAATAAAGTATCACATATACTCAAAACGCCGAGGTCGCTTGCGGGCGAGGCGCTAGAATTGAGTTCTCATGGACAAATATTTGGTCATTACTATAATAAAACATCATATACACTCAAAACGCTGAGGTCGCTTGCGGGCGAGTCGCTAAACTTGAGTTCTTATCAACAAATATTTGGCTACTTGTACAGGGTGGGCAAATTTAGGTGTTATTATAGGCTATCTCAGAAACTATAAGAGATACGAAAAAAGTAGGTGCCATGTCCCGATCTCTTTTTTCGAGACTAACCCAATCCCGCAAACACCAAACCTCTATTTTTTTTTTGTTTTTAAGTTATAGCCAAAAAGTCAAATTTTTGTGATTTTAAAAAATGCTCATATTTCGTTTATTTTTGAAATTAGAGAAATGGGGTTGATACGTTCTTAAGACACTTTTTTAAGTAAAATATACTGCCATTGAAAAATTTTAAAAATATTTGATGGTTTTTGAGATACAACACAAATTTTGTATTTTTTTTAAATACAAACTATGTAGATTATGGTGTTACTGAAAAGAGCATATTTTTAGCTTTCTAATGATGTATTTGCACGCATGGTGTATTTGGGAAAATAAGCGTTATTTTTTAATTCTAAAATATTAAAGATTAATATTCAAAATTTTAATTATAGTAGGCGAGGAAAACGTTAAATGCCACTTAGTTACCATAGTAACGTGAGTTTTTTTATTCATACATAAAGCGATAAAATTAAAAAATGATTCTTTGAAAATGATAGATAAGGCTCCATATCCCACATAAACATCGTTTCAATGGAAAATCCGCTGCCCAGTTTATGATCCCTAATCTTCCTCCATCTCACCCAATTTCAAAAGAAAAGGTTGCTAATATGAAAAAACTTCTAAATCTCATGGTTGGGGAAAACTGGGAAGATACTACCGAAGATTTCATTCATTCATACCCAACTGTTCTAACCTTACAACCAGTAAGTTTAGTAGATGACACAGTCTGTGACTGTTTAGTTCCTGAAGTTGTTCAGTAATTATTCATTAATTAATACGTTTCTTGTATTTTTAATAAACAAACTTTATCTACAAATAATATTTTATTGGTGAACAAAGTCAGGGATAAGACACTGAGAAATTTAAATCAACTATTCAAAGTTTTTATTCGTTAGTACAAAACCAACTTTATCTTGCATAATGGTACAAGACCAACTTTCTGTCATATTCGTGCAAAACCATATAGCAATTAGGTAGTAATTACTGTCTGAATACGCCTATTTTCCGTAAATACATGCGATACATCATTGGAAAGAACATCAATAACAATGTGTATTTGAATTAAAAAATACATATATGAGCGCCATCTATCAATAATTTATTAAGTTATTTAATAATAATATTAAATATTAATAAAAAGTGTGAAATAATGCAATCTATTCCAACTTTTGTGTAAAACAAATATAAATTAAATAGTTCAACAAATGCATTTGTTTCAAATATCAGAAATATGTTTTTTTAATTTTTAGTTATAATTTACAGGAAACTGTAAATTTAATTTCTTTGACAACATTAAAAAAAAAGTTTATTTTTAGCTTTATTCTAAAACAATAAAAAATAGACCTATTTAACCCCATATTTTTGTAATCAGAAAAAAATAACGAATTTAATAAGCAAATAATCAGTGGTTGTTTCAAAACCACTCAAAATCTAAAACCCAAAAATTTTTTTTGACTGTCATCAAATTCTCTGTAAAGAAGTGCCCACATAATGTCTTAATTATAATACTCCACCTATAAGAACAACCAAGATAATGGCACTTGCTGGTTTTATAATATTTTCAATTTTGGCCTCTAGGGGAAAAGCAAAAGGCGATAACGTTTTGAGGTTTTTGGCATTAACAGTTTCTTGAAAAACGAGATCATGACATGTAAGCTACTTTTTTTCTAACTGTTATAGTTTCTGAGATAGCCTATTCTGACTTCAAATTTGAACGCGTTTTAGGTATATATGATGTTTATTATAGTGATGATCAAGTATTTGTCAATAAGAAATCAATTCTAGCGCCTCGCCCGCAAGCGACCTCGGCGTTTTGAGTATATATAATACTTATTGTAGTGCTGATTACAGTTATATTGATATAAAATCAATTATAGCGACCTCGGCGATTTGAGTATATATAATCCTTAATTGTAGTGATCACGTTTATGTCGATAATGATATCCCCGCTAATTCACAAATTGTTTTTTTTTATTATTTTTTATTAATTAATAATTTTAAATTAAATAATTATGTTTTAGGTCCCCACCAAACAATTATTATCGTGCTTATTGGACCAACTAGCCCAACCGATCCCTTGGAAACACACAACGGATTCGTGCCAAGAATGTGGAAAATTATTCACTGTGATGTTCCGAAAACATCATTGTAGGCATTGCGGGCGGGTTTTGTGCGGGAAATGTTCCGACCAAGAGACTCCCATCATTAAATTTGGCGAAAATAAGCCTGTTAGGGTTTGTAGGATTTGTTTCGAAGTGTTGCGAGACGGCGCTAGATCGTAAGTTGAATTTGAATTTATATATTTTTTTGTTGTTAAATATGTAAAGCATTTTTTTCTTTATGGAGCTTATTAGGGATTATATCGTAACCAAAAAAAAAGATATTTTTACTTGTATATTAATTAATTAATTAAAATTTATTCCATTTTTGTGATACAAAAAAAAGGAGAAAAAGAAAACAATAAATTTTGGTAAATAAAATATAATTTGTATATTTTAATGATTTTATTATATACAATAGCGATTTAGTATACAAGATATATGTTTTATTATATTTTTTATACAATTTATTTTTTTCTTTTTTTAATACATAACTACATATAATACATTACACTTTCTACTTTCTTTTTTATTTCATTTTAATTCATTATTTATACATAAAGTGCGTTTAGAGCTTTTTTACTTAAAACTAAGAGTTTAAAATCCTAAATATAAGCTCTAACGTTACGATATCCTCTCCTAAATTGTTCGAAAGAATCCTGTGCAGAACTGGAATCAATTCGTTATCCAAACTTTTCATATAAATCGGTGGTAATTTTACGTTGTTGCTCCCCGCGCTATAAGACACCTAAAAATCGATTATTAATCGATATTAATTAAATTAATTAATTAAAACTTACATTTTCAACATGTAGAGTAGCCCTAATTCCTATTTTAAAAAAGTTATTACTACATAATAAATCCAAATATTTCACTAAAGCTGTACAGGTGGCTTTAGCGATGTTATCCGAAATTTTTGAAATATCTAAAGGGTGGTCCCTCGTTTTTGACGTTTCATCAGTATTTTGCAAAATAAAAACTTCCGTCCAACGAATCATCTTCGAATTCCCCGGGCCTGTAAAGTTCTTTCCATTATGCACTCGAATCGAAGGAACCCCGCTCAACGATTGATTATCAATCGGGGAAACAACCCCAACGTTAAAATCCTTATCGACGTCCCCCCAAATTATATTAACGGTCTCATCAGAAGGCATATTAACACACCCACACTGAATTGTAAACTCCTTCATGTTCCTCAAACTCTCCCGCAAACTAACCATGTCTTCAGCGGAAATTTGTATCATCAACCCATCCTCTACGATACTACTTTTCGCGGTTAAACCGCTCGTCGATTTCAAAGCGCCGTTAAACACGATGAAACTCGCCCCAATAACTTTCTTAGGTTGATTTTTGATATCGATCGTGTGCGTCGTGTAAGAATTTTCCGTGCTACTTTGGGTGTCTTGTATGCAAACCAAGTGGGAATCGGCTTTCGTACTAAAATTGCCACCAAAAACCAAGATGTGATCGCTCGAATTATTCATCGAGGACATCACTTGATCGTAACGATTCGTCGGGATTCGCACAATCGTGTTTTTATCCTCCATATGAATCGAAAGACCGCGAATACTCGTTAAAGTATAAGAAAAATTGCGGAAATCCTAAAAATAATATAAAAAATATTGAAATAAATAAGAATAAATAGGTTAGTTTGTTAACCTAAAAATTTTTTGAAATTTAAATTCGTAAACTGTGAAAAATAAAAAGTTACTAGATTTTTATAAAGTAACTAAAAAAAAAAAAAAAAGTTACTAAAAAAAGATAACCTCAAATTTTTTTAAATTACGATACAAACAAAAATTTTAAAAGTAATTTTTTTTTGATTTTTTTTCTCTTACCGCGAAAAGAGTGATAACGGTGTGCCCCAATTCGACGAAAAGACTGTCTCGAAATCGCGTCGAAATTAACGGACACGGATAATATCGATACTCGGCACCAAGACGAAGCATTAACCTCAAAGGAAAGATTTTCGCCCACGGAGTCTCCCATCTACACCACAAAACCGTAAGTTTTTAACTAATTCAATTTATCTAATTCACCTGTGAATTAAAAGCCCGATGAGAAACGGCTCTTTCGGCTTAATAATGTTTTGAACGCATTGAAACGTCGGTCGGATGTAAAGGAATCCGGCGTGGTTCTTAAAGTCCAAGAACGAGGATGAATCGTGTAAAGAAATTCCCAATTCAGAAACTGTTGTGCCTAAATTAAAAAATCAATTAAATTAAATTAGTGAGGTTATGTTAATTTAACCTTTTAAAGCGTCGTTGTAAATGATGTTGAGGTGGTTAAAAATGTCTATTGGAAGACAAGTTTCTCCATCGGTTAACTCAATTAAATAAACTATCTCATCTTGACCCACTGATAAAAATCCTTCCGTTGAGAAGCACCAAATTTGTTTATTTACACAACAATTCACTGAAATTTAAAAAAATTAACCTCAAAATGAAATGTCAACTTCAAAAAAAAATAAACATAACCTAAAAAAAAATTTATACTTACAATCGATGATTTTAACATGAACAAAAACATTTTTTTGCAAAGCAAACGTTAATTTCTCTCCTTTTAGCACCTCCAATAAATCCCCATCATTTTTATACATATTACAAAAATAACTCGTCTCCAATTTGCACACACTGACCAATGGAGGTAGCTCTTTGCTGTCTTTTGGGACGAAAGTAAGCGTTTCCGGGTAAATAGTCGGTATCTCTTTGCTTTTAACCATCCGATTATCTGTATTATTATTATCAACTTTTAAAGAGTCGAAATCGCCGTCCAACTTGGTTAAATCGCTTCCGGGTCGAATCCCATCGCAAAACATAACGCTTTTATTCGACTTTTTCGATCCTTTCCGTTTTAAAACGCCCACAGGGACCATAACGGTGGGGGGATTACCGCTACTTCCCGCTTGTTGCAACGGGGGGACCACCGAGCAATACTCCATGGGGTTGTTGGGGTTGGGTTGGCGATTTGGGGAGTTCCCCGTTGTTGGGGAGACGTCGCTCGAGCTTGAATAATCGAGGTTTTGTAAGATGTTGTGGCATTTGAGGCAAACTCGGGCCTCCGCGTCTAAGTATTCTAGTCGATATTTTAAGTTGCAACATTTCGAGCAAAGAACTAAGCCGCAAGCGCGGCAGTGATGGCGGCGTTTGATTACGGTGAAACGGGTGTCGCAATGGAGGCAACTTAAAGCTTCGGAATCCGGAATCCATAATGGTGCTTGTTTGCCTAACCAATAAACTAAAAAAAAATTTTGAATTATATATTTTTTTAACTACTATATACAAATTTTCATTGAGTTCATGTTTTTATTTAGTAGCCGAGGCAGCTGTGCTGCCGAGGCAATGGCTCAAATATTACAAAGCAATAAAAAATTGTTTCTCTTTAGTAGTAACGTATTATTAACAACCGAGGCAGCTGTGCTGCCGAGGCAGTAGTTTAAGTATTATAAAGCAATAAGTAAAGGTATCTTTCTTTAAGTATTTATGTACAATGAAAAACCGAGGCAGCTATGCTGCCGAGGCAGTAACTCAGATATTACAAAGTAATAAGAAAATATTTCTTTTCAGTATTAATGTATTATTATCAACCGAGGCAGCTGTGCTGCCGAGGCAGTAGTTCAGATATTACAAAGTAATAAGAAAAGGTTCCTTTTCAGTAATAATGTATTATTAGCAACCGAGGCAGCTGTGCTGCCGAGGCAGTATCTCAAGTATTACAAAATAATAAAAAAACGTTCCTTTTCAGTAATAATGTATTATTAGCAACCAAGGCAGTAGCTCAGGTATTACAAAATAACAAGAAAAGATTTTCCTTCAGTAATAATATATTATTAGCAGCCGAGGCAGTGGTTCAAGTTTTATAAAGCAATAAGTAAAGCAATCTTTTTCTAATAAAAGCCAAGGCAGCAGAGCTACCGAGGCAGTAGTTGGTATATTGCGACGCTATAAGTAAGGGGTTTCTTTTTATTATCAAGGTCTCATTAGTGACCGAGGTTGCTATGCACCCGAGGAATGAAATAAAGCAACATAAAGCAAATATAAAGTATCAGTTCCAATATTTTATCGTAAAAAGTAAACATTTTAATATATCCTCACCTCGCCGAGGTCGCTTGCGGACGAGGCACTGGAACTGATACTGTACATCTGTTTTATGCTGATATAATTACATATCCAGTGCCTCGCCCGCAAGCAACCTCGGCGATGTTAGATGATATCGTTGGTAAATGAACCAAACATACAACACTTGAATCAGAAATCGTCTATCTTTATTTCGCCGAGGTCGCTTGCGGGCGAGGCGCTGGATATGTAACAATATCAACATAAAACGAATACAGTATCAGTTCCAGCGCCTCGCCCGCAAGCGACCTCGGCGAAGTGAGGATATATTAAAATGTTATGCCTTTAATTTAAGATGAAACATTGGAATGGATACTTTATATCTGTTTTATGTTGCTTTATATCACTGCCTCGGCAACACAGCTGTCTCGGCTGCTAATAATACATTACTACTAAAGAAAAACCTTTTCTTATAACTTTGTTGTATTTGAACTATTGCCTCGGTTTCTTTTGGTAGATAAATACTTAAAGAAAGATACCTTTACTTATTGCTTTATAATACTTGAACTACTGCCTTGACAGCATAGCTGCCTCGGTACTAATAATACATGGCTATTGAAAAAAAATATTTTGTAAAATATATTTCATCGCCTCAGCATCTCATGATACCTTGATGACACAAAAAAGCCTTTATTTATAGCTTCGCAATACGCTAACATGCACATTTCGCTACCTTGGCTGCACAGCAACCTCAGTTTGAATATTATTCATATTAAAAGAGTTGTGATGTTTCTCTATAAAATAAAGTGCCCTTCACTGCCTCAGCTTGCTATGGTATAATAAGGCAAAACCAGTTCCTTTGATCTGATTATGCCGAGGTCGCTGGTGGATGAGGCAATACAATTGACCACATCAACACTGAATTGACAAGATATAGTGTAATGCCTCAGCCGCAAGAGACCTGTATTTTTTAGAATAAAAAAATGATTTATATCTTAAATTGAAGACAAAAGATTATATTTTAAAATGTGATATAAAAAATAATGATGTTAATAATAAAAATTTGGAGATAAAAATGTTTAAAAAGAATTAAGTAGGGTTACATTATGTTCGAAAACGTCAAAATAAAAGAAATCGCATTGACTTCATTTTTAGGAGTTAAGAAACGATTTATATCACAAATTGAAGAGAAAAGATGATATTTTGAGATGTGATATAAAAATAATAACGTTAATAATAAAAAATTTTGAAAAAAAAGTTGTTAAGAAAAATTAAGAAGTTGGGTTAGGTTATGTTAAAAAACGTCAAAATTAAAAAATAATCGTATCCACCTTGTTTTTTGGAGTTAAAAAACTGTTTATATCGCAAATTGAAGATAAAAGATGATATTTTGAGATGTGATATAAAAATAATAACATTTAGTATAAAAAATTTTGAGAAAAAAGGTGTTAAAGAAAATTAAGTTGGGTTAGGTTATGTTCGAAAACGTCAAAATTAAAAAAATCGTATTTTCATTTTTTGAAGTTAAGAAACGATTTATATCGCAAATTGAAGATAAAAGAAGATATTTTGAGATGTGATATAAAAATAATAACGTTAATAATAAAAAATTTTGAGAAAAAAGATATTAAAGAAAATTAAGTTAGGTTAGGTTATGTTCGAAAACGTCAAAATTAAAAAAATCGTATTGACTTCATTTTTTGAAGTTAAGAAACGGTTTATATCGCAAATTGAAGATAAAAGATGATATTTTGAGATGTGATATAAAAATAATAACGTTAATAATGAAAAATTTTAAGAAAAAAGATATTAAAGAAAATTAAGTTAGGTTAGGTTATGTTCGAAAACGTCAAAATTAAAAAAATCGTATTGACTTCATTTTTTGGAGTTAAGAAACGATTTATATCTCAAATTGAAGATAAAAGATGATATTTTGAGATGTGATATAAAAATAATAACGTTAATAATGAAAAATTTTGAGAAAAAAGGTGTTAAAGAAAATTAAGTTGGGTTAGGTTATGTTCGAAAACGTCAAAATTAAAAAAATCGTATTGACTTCATTTTTTGAAGTTAAGAAACGATTTATATCGCAAATTGAAGATAAAAGATGATATTTTGAGATGTGATATAAAAATAATAACGTTAATAATGAAAAATTTTGAGAAAAAAGGTGTTAAAGAAAATTAAGTTAGGTTAGGTTATGTTCGAAAACGTCAAAATTAAAAAAATCGTATTGACTTCATTTTTTGAAGTTAAGAAACGATTTATATCACAAATTGAAGATAAAAGATGATATTTTGAGATGTGATATAAAAATGATAACGTTAATAATGAAAAATTTTGTGAAAAAAGGTGTTCAAAAAAATTAAGTTGGGTTAGGTTATGTTAAAAAACGTCAAAATTAAAAAATAATCGTATCCACCTTGTTTTTTGGAGTTAAAAAGCGATTTATATCGCAAATTGAAGATAAAAGATTATATTTTGAGATGTTATATAAAAATAATAACGTTAATAATGAAAAATTTTGAGAAAAAAGGTGTTAAAGAAAGTTTAAATTGAGTTAGGTGAGACACCCTGTAGTTTAAGAATTATGTTAGAACTAAAACTCACCCGGAATATTATTACTAGCTTCACCCACATCCTCATTTCCTTTTTCTTCATCTTTAACTCCTTCCTCTACCTTCGCTTCGCTTAATCCAACTTCAACATTTTCATTAATTTCATCACGAGATTCCTCAATTTTACCCCCTTCACAAACATCTTTATTTTCACCCCCCAAATCATCGACTTCCGTATCATTAGAATCACTTACAGTGTCTGTTGAAGCCTCAGAGAATGTCGGCGAAGATGAAGTCTCCTTTTCTTTCCCAATCGCATCTTTAACCTCTTCTAAAGTAAGTTCTTTTGAAACGTAGAGGTTATTATATGGGGTCGAACCCGGTTCTCCAATTAAATCGATTTTTCGCGGTTTTATTTCTTCCGAATCGGACGAAAATGATTCTCGGGATAATTCTAAGTTGTTGGGGCGCTCAATGGTTTCGATATTTGAGTCGGTTTCTAATTTTTCGGTTATTTTAATTTCATTTAGATCTTCTTTTTCGTTTATTTTGGGTTCTTCGACGTTTTCTTTTTCAAATTCAACTTCTAATTCGTCCAAAAATTGATTTAAAGTTGAATCATCTATCTCAAATTTATCATCAAATTTAATTACTTTATCTTTTTCTTCTTCTAAGTCAACATTTTCTTGTTTTAAATCAATATTTTCTTCTTTCAAATCAATATTTTCATCTTTAATATCAACAGACTCATTTTTTTCATTAATTTCATCTTCAATTCCTTCTAATTTAAAGTTATTATCCCCATCTACTTCATTTTCTTCATTTACTTCTTCACTTTCTAATTTATTTTCATCAAAATCCTCATTTTTTAAATCATTTTCAATTTTAACTCTATTATCACCATCGATACATTCCAAATTTGTCACTGCATCACAATTAGATTCATTTTTATCACAAATTCCATCATTTTCACTAATTTCAGTTATTATCATAGCTTCTTCTTTACATTCAATTGATTCGGGGAAGCTTAAATCCAATAAATTCCCCGTTTGGACTTCAACATTGTTGTTTTGAGCCTCATTTTCTTTGTTACTATCAGCAGGGGGTTGCTTCGCGGTCGGTTTTGTCGATATATCCGTGTTTAAATACTCGTTGAGGCTGTGGAAGACGTTCGTAATGGAATGTTTGGCGTCCCCGGTGCGCGATTTCGAGCTTGACGCGTAATTTGAGCCTCCTTGTGCTAAATACGTTCGACTCGAGCCGAAATTATCGGTTAATTCGCTGTATTCAAAGTCGTCGAGGACTTTATCCAAATCAACGATGTATTTATCCATGTCGATTTTAAGCTGGAAGTGAAGTTTAATGATAATTAAACGGGTAAGTCGGAATGAGTCACTTGGGAACCATTTTAATGGAACTTGATAACGGAATAAACACTTACGATGTTGGCTCGTTACTTTAATACGGTTTAAAAGCTAAAAAAGCATAATTTACAACAAAAAGTATGTTGATTAACCGTTAAACTGCATTTCGTTGACGTTTGGCGATAAATTTTTTTAGGTTATGTTGATCTGTCAAAATCTTTTACATTATTTTATTAAAAAAAATTAATCAAACTTAATAATTTAATTCAAAAATAATCATTTTTAATTATCATAAATGATTTTATAATTAATTAATTAATTAAATCAAAATAAACTAAACTAAATTTAGTTACAAATTGAGATAATAGATGGCGAACCAACGAATACGTCAGTTAGATGGCGCCACTAATCACGAAAACTTGCAACAATTTTAAACATTTTTTATCAAAAAGAAAACGCGATAAGATTAAAAGCTACGATAAAGGGCGGATAAACTTTATCGTTGTTGCAATATTTATTGTGTACTATTGGATTTAACGTGACGTGTTTACAAGTAACTTACAATGAATTCGAAATCAACTTCTGACCAAAACGCGTATAATCGGGTTGATTTAACGTCGATTTTGCGGACAAACGAGCAATATCGGAAGCAAAGAAGGCTTCATAACAGTGAAAATCGCCGTTCGAGATCGATGGATGATATCGCCAGTTTTGTTATCGAGGAAAAACCGCCTTCGAAACGATGGGGTAACCTCAAGAAAAGTAAAAGTGTTTGTATAAGAAGGAAAAATCTTTCCGATCAACAACGAATCGAGGAGTTAATTAAGAAACATCGTGCCACGGTAAGCAATTATGTATAAATTAAATTAATTTGAAAATATATCTTTTTTTTTGTGGTTAGTTGAGGTTAGGTTGGTGTTTAAAGTTGCGCTTTTAACTAAAAGATGGCGCTGGGGGGAGATTTCGAAATTATTAATGTCATTATTTTGAGGTTAATAAAAAAAATATTTATATTTTAAAATTAGGTTCATTTTTGAAATGATTTGAGAAAATTTGATTAATAATTCATCAAAAATTGTTTTGATTAAGGATTAATGGGTGTTTTAATTAATATTAATGATTAAAGTCCCCTACTTCCTGTCATTTTAATAGTTGTAATAGTAGTAGTAGGCAAAACAGTGAAGTTTGCAATAATTTGGACGTTGTTGTTTAGATGGTGAAGTCTAGCTTCACACTTTTAGTGACAGTAGTGACTGTATTACATATTGTAGTCTCATATTAGATTCAGGAGCTGATTAGTACATTGCCTCGAGGTGGTTTTGTCTTTTTTAAATTCAAGTATTAGAAGAGAATTTTAAGGAATGTGTGGTTTTGCCACATTATACTTAGGCTTGCAAGCGAGCTCGGAAAACATTAAACCAAGAGATACATGATTTTATTATATTATGCCGAGGCCGCTTGCGGCCGAGGCAATAGAGCATGTGCTCGGCAATCGTGGGTTGTTTTGAAATTCATCGTCACTCTTCGCCCACAAGCGACTTCGGCGTAATGAAGTAAAATTATATATCTTTTGATTTAATATTTGCCGAGGTCGCTTGCGGCCGAGGCAATAGAGCATGTCCTCAAGAATCTTGTGTTGTTTTGAAATTCATCGTCACGAATTGCCCGTAAAGGACCTCGTCGTAATGAAGTAAAATCATGTATCTCTTGATTTAATATTTGCCGAGGTCGCTTGCGGCCGAGGCAATAGAGAATATGCTTAATAATCTTGGGTTGTTTTGAAATTCATTGTAACGTTTCGCCCGCAACGGACCTCGGCGTAAGGAAGTTAAATCATGTATTTATTGATTTAATATTTGCCGAGGTCGCTTGCGGCCGAGGCAATAGAGCATATCCTCAACAGTCTTGTGTTGTTTTGAAATTCATCGTCACGCCTCGCCCGCAAGCGACCTCGGCGTCATGAAGTAAAATCATGCATCTCTTGATTTAATATTTGCCGAGGTCGCTTGCGGCCGAGGCAATAGAGCATATGCTTAGTAATCTTGGATTGTTGTAAAATGCATTGCAACGCTTCGCCCGCAAGGAACCTCGGCGTAAAGAAGTTAAATCATGTATCTATTGACTTAATATTTGCCGAGGTCGCTTGCGGCCGAGGCAATAGACCATATGCTCAGTAACCTTAGGTTGTTTTGAAATTCATTGTAACGCCTCGCCCGCAAGCGACCTCAGCGTAATGAAGTAAAATCATGTATCGCAGGTTTTTTTTATTTATTTATGTTATTAGAGCAAGAAAGTATGATTTTACCTCACTCCGCCGAGGTCGCTTGCGGGCGAGGCGTTAGAATGAATTTCAAAACAACCTAAGATAACTAAGCACATGCTCTATTGCTTCAGCCACAAGCGATCTCGGCAAACAATAAATTGTAAGTTACATGTCAAGGTTATTTACAGCCGAGGCAATACAATACATGTTCACTAGTTTTATGTTGATGTGGAATTCATTGTAACGCCTCGCCCGCAAGCGACCTCGGCGGAGTGAGGAACAATCATAATTCCTTGTTCTAACAATAACATAAATAAATAAATCAAAAAACAAATGTATGAGTCTGCCTCATGAAGCAAAAGTTGCTTCCAATCGAAGCATTTCAATGAATTTCAAAGCAACCCAAGATTGCTGAGCACATGCTCTATTGCCTCGGCCGCAAGCGACCTCGGCAAACATTACATCAAAAGCGACAAGTCCGTGACAGCGACAATTTTGCCGCGCACTTACTAAAAATGTTTGCAAGCGGCAGATAGAGTGTTTTACAAGTTTGTTACCTTTATGTTGAGGGTGGTTTTTTTTAAGTGACTCTTTCAATCGAAAAGTGGATTGTTTATTAATCGGACTGTGTTAAATATTGATACCATTTTAAAAATATCAAATTAATGATTTTAAATGATTCTAAATATATAAAAAATAATATCCTCTAGAGGGCGCTTTATTAAATAAATAATAATTCGCTTTTTAAAGCAGACTAAGAATAATAAATATAAATTTGTGTAAGTTAAGTATTTGAATGAAATTCGAAAGCGAGGTTAACCAAAGCACGTTCAACTTTGCTCTTTGACGGAGTTCTTTCATATAAAATTAATTGAACCAATTAACGCGGTCAGTTAAGCGACGGCTCGTGCTCAAGCAAAGACACACGTTTGTTTGAGTGCGTTTGAGTTTTTTGAGTAGTCAACATCGCGTTGTTGTATTCTTCGCTTCCTTCTCGCTAGTTATTAATTTATTTCGTATTAAAAAAAAAAAAAAAGAAATAAAATAGTGACTCAAAAAGAATCGAATCAAAGCAAATAAAGATAAAAAAAAGATAAAGAAAATAAAACAAGACGATAAAGTCGAGTCAAATGTTTAAATCGGAGGATATTCCCGATAGTTTAACTTGTTGGTTGGAGGAGTTGCGTTTTCGTACGGAAAATTACGAGCCGTCGCGGTATTTTCGACCGAACTCGTCGGAGTTTTCGTTGTTGTTGTGTTCGAAACAAGAAAATAAGGAGATTAGTATGCACAAAGATTCGAATAATTCGAAAAGTGTTTACGTTCGGCTTTGGGAGTGCACGTCGAGCGGTTCCGGGCAAAGTTCGGCCGATTGTAAAATTAATTTCGCGGAAGAACGACCGGTTTCGACCGTTTTTCAAGAATGCGTCGAACAGGAATTTAATAAACGTCCGGTTAAAGTCGAAAAAGTCGAGTTTTATTTAACCAAAGATGTTCTTCACTGGATTACCAATTTGTGGTATAGTAGCGAGGAAGAAGATGAATTTGAAGAGGTAAAAAAATTTTTTTTGAGATACTTCAATTTTTGCTCATCACTGTATATTCAATTGAATACAGTGATGACCAAAAACTCCTCAACATTCTGAAATGAGTCCGAACACTTCTAAATTGTGTTTAATTTAGTTTGGAATTTGTTCAAAACATATTTCAAAATAATCCATCTTAAACGAACTTTCAAGATGGCTACTAGGGTTTTTATGTTATCTTTTTTCTACGATTATATATATGCCCGTGATACGAAATAATTTTCATTAATAAAATCACGTAGGAAATCAAAAATGCTTTAAAATGACACCAAACTCGATAAAAATATTTTTGAAGAAAATTTCAAGATGGCGCCTAGGTTTTTAGGTTATCTTTTTTATTTTTAATAATAACCTCACCATATTTATATTCATTTTAAATGATTTTTTTTCATATATTGAACATCAAATTCGATATTTTTATCTTATAACGTAATTTTCAAGATGGCGACGTGATTAATTTAGATTTTCTTTTATTTTTTCGAAAACTTTTTTTATAGAGAATCGATTACAAAATAAAAATTGCTTTAAAATGACACCAAACTCGATAAAATTATTTTTAAAGAAAATTTCAAGATGGCGCCTACGTTTTTTAGGTTATCTTTTTTATTTTTAATAATAACCTCACCATATTTATATTCATCTTAAACGATTTTTTTCATATATTGAACATCAAATTCGATATTTTTATTTTATGACATAATTTTCAAGATGGCGACGTGATTGATTCAGATTTTCCCTTTTTTTTTGGAAATTTTTTTTTTTATACAGGATCGATTACAAAATAAAAATTGCTTTAGAATGACACCAAACTCGATAAAATTATTTTTAAAGAAAATTTCAAGATGGCGCCTAGGTTTTTTAGGTTATCTTTTTTATTTTTAATAATAACCTCATCATGTTTATACTCATTTTAAACGATTTCTTTTCATATATTGAACATCAAATTCGATATTTTTATCTTATGACGTAATTTTCAAGATGGCGACGTGATTAATTTAGATTTTCTTTTATTTTTTCGAAAACTTTTTTTATAGGGAATCGATTACAAAATAAAAATTGCTTTAAAATGACACCAAGCTCGATAAAATTATTTTTAAAGAAAATTTCAAGATGGCGCCTAGGTTTTTTTAGGTTATCTTTTTTATTTTTAATAATAACCTCACCATGTTTATACTCATTTTAAACGATTTTTTTCATATATTGAACATCAAATTCGATATTTTTATCTTATGACGTAATTTTCAAGATGGCGACGTGATTAATTTAGATTTTCTTTTATTTTTTCGAAAACTTTTTTTATAGGGAATCGATTACAAAATAAAAATTGCTTTAAAATGACACCAAGCTCGATAAAATTATTTTTAAAGAAAATTTCAAGATGGCGCCTAGGTTTTTTTAGGTTATCTTTTTTATTTTTAATAATAACCTCACCATATTTATATTCATTTTAAACGATTTCTTTCACATATTGAACATCAAATTCGATAGTTTTATCTTATGACATAATTTTCAAGATGGCGACGTGATTAATTTAGATTATCTTTTATTTTTTCGAAAACTTTTTTTATAGGGAATCGATTACAAAATAAAAATTGCTTTAAAATGACACCAAGCTCGATAAAATTATTTTTAAAGGAAATTTCAAGATGGCGCCTAGGTTTTTTTAGGTTATCTTTTTTATTTTTAATAATAACCTCACCATGTTTATACTCATTTTAAACGATTTTTTTCATATATTGAACATCAAATTCGATATTTTTATCTTATGACGTAATTTTCAAGATGGCGACGTGATTAATTTAGGTTTTATTTTATTTTTTCAAAAACTTTTTTTATAGAGAATCGATTACAAAATAAAAATTGCTTTAAAATGACATCAAACTCGATAAAATTATTTTTAAAGAAAATTTCAAGATGGCGCCTAGGTTTTTTTAGGTTATCTTTTTTATTTTTAAAAATAATCCTACAAAGTAAAAAGTTTTTATTAATAAAATCGAATAGAACACAAAAAATCGTTTGAAACGATGTCAAACTCGATGTGCTTGTGTTACAACGAATTTTCAAAATGGCGGCTAGGTTATTTTAGGTTATCTTTTTTATTTATGAAGAAAATCGCATTATTTAAAAAAATTATTAATAAAATTGAGTCATTTATAAAATGACATTAAACCCGATGAGTTTATTTTATATCAAATTTTCAAGATGGCGTCTTGACTTTTTAGGTTATTTTTTTTATTCCTAATGATAATCTAATTATATAAAAAAAAATTATTAATAAAATCGTATAAGATGTAAAATCACATCAAACTTTATGGGTTTAGGTTATAAAATAATTTTCAAGATGGCGCCTAAGTTATTTTAGGTTATTTAGGTTAACTTTTCTATTTTTAAAGATAACCCCATCGTGTTTGTACTCATTTCAAAGGGTTTTTCATAAATGAAACGATTTTATAAATAAAAATTATTTTTTATTAAATTTTAAAATATTTCTAAAGAAATTGTTTATAAAGAAATAAGTTATCCGCGTGTGGTTTTCTTTTGATTGCCCCGTTTTAGCGATAAAGTAATGTTAAAAAACATTTCCTGTCCGCGTGAATAATAACGAACGTCACCGGAGTGACGATGACGCGGCCGCGAAACGTGTCTTTCATAATAAATTTAATAAATTCATACAAATGAGTCGTTTTAATCGACTTACGTACAAAACGTAAGTAAACGAGAAATGTATAGTTCCGTGTTAAAGAATAATAACGTAAATAGGAAAAATAAATTAATAAATTAAATGAAAGAATTTATAATATAGTAAAAAAACTTTGATATAACGGACTATATTACGGGGAAGGGAGTGTCCGTTATAGCCAAAAGTACCTTATATGAAAAGTTGCCTCAGCAGCTAAGCTGCTGAGGCAAGAGCGTAATTTATTAAAAAAAAAAGAAGTTTTCTTCGTTATAAATGTAATAATATTTGCCGAGGCAGCTATGCTGCTGAGGCATGAGCGCAATTTATTTAAAAAACGGAAGTTTTTTTATTATAAGTATATAAAATAATTGCCGAAGCAGCGTAGCTGCTGAGGCAGAAGTGCGCACGTACACATATCAGAATTTTTTTTTATTGTAAATATATTATAGAATTGCCGAAGCAGCTAAGCTGCTGAGGCAAGAGCGCAATTTAATTCAAAAACGAATGTTTTTGTTATTATAAACGTATCATATAATTGCCTCAGCAGCTAAGCTGCTGAGGCAGGAGCACGTCTACTGAAAAAATTGATGTTGTCTTTGTTATAAATGTAATAACCGAGGCAGCTAAGCTGCCGAGGCAACAGCGTAACTATTGAATAATTTAGGAAATTTTATTCAATATAAATATATCATATAATTGCCGAAGCAGCTGAGCTGCTGAGGCAGAAGTGTGCGAGTACATAAAATCGGAAGTTATTTTTATTATAAATATATCACATAATCGCCGAAGCAGTTAAGCTGCCGAGGCAACAGCGTAACTATTGAATAATTTAAGAAATTTTATTCAATATAAATATATCATATAATTGCCGAAGCAGCTGAGCTGCTGAGGCAGAAGTGTGCGAGTACATAAAATCGGAAGTTATCTTTATTATAAATATATCACATAATCGCCGAAGCAGTTAAGCTGCTGAGGCAGAACTGCGAGTACACAAAACCAAAAATTTTCTTTATTATAAATATATCACATAATTGTTGAAGCAACTACGTTGCTGAGGCAAGAGCGCAATTTATTTTAAAAACGAAAGTTTTCTTCATTATAAACGTACGCTCTTGCCTCAGCAATTATATTATAATATGTTTATAATATTTCTGTATTATTTTTACTTTTTTTTCCGATTTTTACTTCCGATTTTATGTAGTCGCGCACTCCTGCCTCAGCAGTTTAGTTGTTTCGGCAATTATATAATACATGTGTAAGACAGAAAACTTTTGGTTTTGTGTATACGCGCACTTCTGCCTCAGCAGCTAAGCTGCTTCGGCAATTATATAATATATTTGTAATGAAGAAAACTTTCTAAATTATTTCTTAAGTAGTTACGCTCCTGCCTCAGCAGCTTAGCTGCTTCGGCAATTATATAATATATTTGTAGGACAGAAAACTTCCGGTTTTGTGTATTCTTGCACTCCTGCCTCAGCAGCTAAGCTGCTTCGGCAATTATATGATATATTTATAATGAAGAAAATTTCTTAAATTATATCTTAAGTAGTTACGCTCTTGCCTCAGCAGCTCAGCTGCTTCGGCAATTATATAACATATTTGTAGGACAGAAAACTTTCGGTTTTGTGTATTCGCGCACTCCTGCCTCAGCAGCTAAGCTGCTTCGGCAATTATATAATATATTTGTAATGAAGAAAACTTTCTAAATTATTTCTTAAGTAGTTATGCTCCTGCCTCAGCAGCTTAGCTGCTTCGGCAATTATATAATATATTTGTAGGACAGAAAACTTCCGGTTTTGTGTATACGCGCACTCCTGCCTCAGCAGCTAAGCTGCTTCGGCAATTATATAATATATTTGTAATGAAGAAAACTTTCTAAATTATTTCTTAAGTAGTTAAGCTCTTGCCTCAGCAGCTTAGCTGCTTCGGCAATTATATAATATATTTGTAGGACAGAAAACTTCCGGTTTTGTGTATTCTTGCACTCCTGCCTCAGCAGCTAAGCTGCTTCGGCAATTATATGATATATTTATAATGAAGAAAATTTCTTAAATTATATCTTAAGTAGTTACGCTCTTGCCTCAGCAGCTCAGCTGCTTCGGCAATTATATAACATATTTGTAGGACAGAAAACTTTCGGTTTTGTGTATTCGCGCACTCCTGCCTCAGCAGCTAAGCTGCTTCGGCAATTATATAATATATTTGTAATGAAGAAAACTTTCTAAATTATTTCTTAAGTAGTTATGCTCCTGCCTCAGCAGCTTAGCTGCTTCGGCAATTATATAATATATTTGTAGGACAGAAAACTTCCGGTTTTGTGTAT